AGAATTTTCCACTCGTGTACTGTTGACGGGTCTCGATTCGGGTTTCGAAAGTATTGTAGGGGGTGACAAACCGACAATCCGCGTCGCTCTCTCTCTCGCTCTCTCTCTCTGTCTCTCTCTCTCTGTCTCTCTCTCTCTCTCGCTCTCAATCCCCATTCGAAAAACCCTCTTTTTCGGGCCCATCGATGCGCGACTGCCACCGCCCGAGAATCAGTAGGTATAGTAGCCACCTTGTTTCGACCGGTTTCCGCTCTCGCCCCCCGTGCTACACAATGACAGCTATAGGGTGATGCATACGTTATTGATATGCGAATTATAATGGCTATTTTCAGATTTTAAATATTTTTAGGCCTGAAAATCCATTGGGCAGACTAGCAGAGATTCTTGAGAAATTTGGGCAACTAGCAGGGATTCTTGGGTACCATGGCAACCTAGCGATATTCTTGAGGAGACTCTGTAATGGCTTGAATGGTTTTGAATATCTTTTACTTGAAAGGATTTAGGGCAGGCTAGCAGGGATCATTGAGGAATTAGGGAGGCTAGCAGGGATTATTTAGGAAACGAGGTCGGAGCGACTTGGCAACTAGCAGAGATTCTGAGGGGAAATTGGGAGGCTAGCAGCGATTCCTGGGAAATAGACGCGAGGAATGCTAGCAGGAATCTCTTTCGGAACTCGAAAAATCGATAGGGCAGGCTAGCAGGGATTCCTAGGGAATCAGGCCAACGAGCAGAGATTTTTTGATTTTCGTAATTACTAACTATTGATCCTTGGGAATATTCGTAAACTAGCAGTGATTCTTGCGGAAATCGGGAGCTAGCAAACACTTTTTGAATAGCTAGACCGTCGAGGTAACGAGCAGGGATTCTTGGGGAACTTTAAAAATCCTTAGGCACGCTAGCGCAGACAATTTGCTCCTGCTTTATGCCTTTTTTATGCCATACTTTCCATTGTTGTTTACCCTTTGCCACACCAACTCAACCCCCACTCGACCACCATTTTCAGGCCCCCCCTCCTTCAACTATCGACGCCAATTTTACGCGTGTATTCGACTCTATTATATTTGGGTTTAATACCCTGTATTCGCTACTTCTAAATACTCTAAAATATCTATTCAAGCGAGTCGCTACCTACTAATGAAATGAGCTCGACCCCGAGGACATTTGCGGCTATTTCTTTCGCAATTCGGGTTTTTGTTCTGGTAGGGGCTCGGCAGCCTTCAATGGCCCTTTAAAAGGTGGAAAAACGGATCCGGAACGCCCGGACACGGTTATCTAAAAAAAATTTTTCACTTTGAGTAGTCGACCATGGCTTCCGCTTTGGCTCGGGGCAAATTTTTTAGATTTCCCCGGTTATACGCCCTGGCAGTGGCCCAGGTGGGTGACGAGTGGGTAGCGCAAAAATTATGCAAATTTCGAAATTGCCTGAATTTTTTGCCATTTTCGATCGATTTCCGGTCCGGATCCGGTTTTCTCCACTTTTTCGTGTTTTTACAACTTTTTCTAGCTTCTCGGCATCGTTTCTATGATCTTGGTGTTGACAGCACCTGGCGCATGCTTTTCCCGATATCTTAATGCGACTCCGATCTCGAGGTAACACCCATTTTAAAGGACCATTGAAGGCTGATGGATTCCAGAGAGATTTGCCCCGGCCAGAATAGTATATTCCCGATGAATGCGGAGCGGTGGAGCAATGGACTGCATTTTCAGGGGAGAGGCGAGAAGTTGGTGATTTTGAAGGGGTGGCTAGCACATGTTTTTGGGGAATCGGAGTGCCAAGCTAGCAGAGATTTTTGAGGTTGTTGGGGGCAAACCAGCAGGGATTCTGTGGGGAAACTCCTTAAAGCTGTCTCCTACGCATTTTTGCGACTTGGCAAGGTAAATCGCGGCTAGGCAAACGAGCAGAGATTCTTTGCGGATTTTTTTGGCTTGGCAAACTGGCAGAGACCTTTGAGGAATTTCGGATCCTTAATGTTCTCTGCTACGCGTTTTTTTAGCATCTAGCGGAAGCTAGCAAAGATTCTGGCAAAAATTGTGCTAGGCGAACGAGCAGTGTTTCTTTAAGAACTTTCGCTCTGAAATTGTCTCTGCGATGAATTTTCTACAACTTGAGGGCAATCTAACAGAGATTTTTTGATTTAAAGGCAGTGTGACAGCTAGAGAAGAATTTTACCCTTTAAAGGCACCTATAACCCTCCCCCCCTTTTTCTAGTGTCTACGGTCAAGTGGCTATAATCGTGGTATCACTCATTTTTGCGCTTGCGTCACTCGCATTTTCTTGCGTCCACCTCGGCACTGGGAATTCGCTGATGTACCCGGTAAGCCGAGGCGTTTTAAAGGGAGCGTGACAACTCAAAAACGAGAAAAATGAAGTTTTTTTGTGCTTCTTTTTTAGCAAATGTTCTACGCGGCCGTCGCGGTGATTGCGTTCTTGATAATGGGCGGATTTGAGACGTGGTGAGTCAAAAAATTTGAGGCAAGCTAGCAAAGGAAATTTGCGGATATTTGAGGTTCTCGCAGCTAGCAGAGATCCTTTAGGAGGGCAGGTAGGCTAGCAGAGACAATTTGAGTAGCAAGGCGGCCTAGCAGAGGTAATTTTGAGCACTGGCAAACTAGCAGAAATCTTTTAGGAAATCAGGTAACCTAGCAGAGGCAATTTCGGAATTTTTGTACCTGGCAAGCTAAGCAGAGATTTTTTAAATTTAAGGTACGCCACCGGATTCGACCACATGGCCTTCTTCATCCAGGCTATAGGAAATGGGGTAGGTTTTTGCCCTCAATGGCCCTTTAAAAAGCGTAGAATCGATAGAACTATGTAAAAACTAAAATTTTAGGTATTTTCCGGTTGCGCCGGCTTGCCCGGCTGTCAAATCGAGTTTGTCGTCAAGGGATGGGCGGTGGCGGCGGTAAGAAAAAATCTAAGAATTTTTAGGAAGCGAGAAAATTAGTTTTGGAGCTAAAGTCGTTTAAATTTCAAATATTTTTGGATTTTAATTAAACTAATCAACCAATTGAATTAGTTAGATGATTCAAAAAATTATTAAATTAAAATTTTAGGCATTCTATTTCCTCTCGGCCTTGCTTTACGTAGCTGATATCGGCGTGACGTTTGCCGGGAAAGATCGGTCAGTTTTTATTTGCCAAATTTTTTTAGAAGTACCGTAATATCGCATTTAACGGGTTTTTAACATTTTTTGAATGACATTTTGCTACTTTCTCCTTTGAAGGGGCGCCAGCGACAGCTACCCGGTGACGACGACCAGGGCCAATCACCATATTCACTATTAGCTGCCGAAAACGGTGGATATTCGAGATTTGGACTCCTATTAATGTGCTCACTGGCTTCATCACTTGCCTGTCACACTGCCTTTAAAATGGCTTATGTCGCATTGCCTTTAAAACGGATCAGGCGACCTTTAGAGCCCCCTAAAATAGTCGTCGACCTACCTGTCACTCCACCTTTAAAACGGCTTAGCCACGCAGATAAATTTTTGTCGTTACCATTAAATCCCCTTTTTCAATGCTTTCCCGGTCCCTTTAAATCTGGCTAGCTGTCATTCCACCTTTAAAAATTCCTAACCAGTTTTGTTATTACCATCAAAGCGCTGATCAGCACCTTCCTGGCACGCCCCCTTTAATTCGCCCGCACCCTCTTTTCACAGTGCCTTTAAAATAGCCCTTCCTGTCACGCTCCCTTTAGAGCGACCCGACGCGCCTGTCACCATGCCTTTAAAATAGTCATCACTGTCACGCTCCCTTTAAAATTGTAGCTCCCGCCCGTATCCGGTTGACCTCTACTATGCGCGCCGGTGGCGAACGTCGGTCTAAACGATTACGACATGAAATTCTGGACCCAAAATGTATTGTACAGATGTTGTTTTGCTTTATATTACTTTGATATATGCTTTTGATAAACGTACGCTCTCGGTTTGACGCAACTGCAGCAAATGGTCTCTGCTAGCCTGCCTGAACTGATACTATTGGGAGGCCTGGTGTTGTTTCTAGGATTTTTTTGAAGTGCGGACTTCGGTGATTTTTTGGAATTTTGTCCAAAAATTTCGAAAGATACGGCCGTAGCGAATCATGTCATTCGAAAGAGCATGTCAAAGAGTTCCTAAAAACGTTTACGTCCAAAGTCCTAGAGTCCCTGGTGTAGTTGCTGCGATTCTTTGAAGTTATAACTTTTGGTGATTTTGAGCAAGATGCCTAAGAATTTCTACTAGCCTGCCCTTATTCGCTCCCCTCGAATAACAATTCCCAACATAACAACTTTGCCCGATTTGCTAATTCTAAGTGAGTCGAGGCTCTATTTGTTCGCAGAATTTTCACCGACGTTTTTCAGGCGTTATTTTTCCGAATTTCCCGCTGTCGTTACGGTGGTCGACGATCGGAAGGGGAAGGAATGGCAGAGAGAGAGAGAGAGAGGGAGAGAGCGAGAGACAGAGGAGAGAGAGAGAGAGAGAGAACCGAGTTGCTTGGCAAATAGATAGGTGCCAAATAGCTGGCCACTAGGCGGCAGAAGGGGCCAAATAAACAGAATGGACCTTCCCGAACTCGAGAAATGACCCCTGGAATGTTTAGCAAATGGTCTCTGCTAGTTTGCCTGGGCCTGGCAGGTTTCGAAAAGTCTGGTTCTCTGTCTCGCTCTCTCTTTCTCTCTCTCTCTCTCTCTCTCTCTCTCTCTTTCTCTGTCTCTCGCTCTCTCTCGCTCCCTATCTCTCTCTATCTCGTTCGCTCTGTCTCTCTCTCTCGCTCTTTCCCTCCCTCTATCTCGCTCACTCTCTCACGCTCTCTCTCACTCTCTCTCTCTCACTCGCTCTCTCTCTCTCTCTCTCTGCCACGGAACGTATCCAAATATAGAAATCTCTTTATTATCGTACATCAATCTCCGTAGAACACATAATATCATCGCGTAATCGAATACTTGAGTCATTTTTGGCATTGTTTGTAGCGTGTTGAGGGCAGTGTGGAGTTTGTAGTCGGAACTCCCGAGTTGCATTTTACTTTCTTCCGTACAAATAGTAGGAATACGGGTAGTAGTACGACACCGGCACGTAGGCCACCTGGTTCGTGGAGGCGCCTGAAAAATGTGAATTTTTTTGGGGCAGGTTAGCAGAGATTTTTCAGGAATTATATGGCAGGCTAGCAGTGATTCTTTGAGGAAATGGAGGGGCAGGGTAGCAGAGATTCTTTAGGAATTGGAGGGGCAGGCAAGCAGAGATTCTTGAAAAAATGGAGGGCAGGCTAGCCGAGATTCTTTGGGGAATTGGAAGGCAGGCTAGCAGACATTTTTTGAAGAATTCGGGATGGGGCAGGCTAGCAGAGATTTTTGAGGAAGTCGGGATGGGGCAGGCTAGCAGAGACATTTGAGGAAACGCACCGTTTGATGTCTGTCCCTGTTGCGTGTTGTACTGCGGCTGCTGGCCGTTGTTGCCTGAAAACCAGTTGTTTTAATGGGCCCCTAAACGCGTCGAACTTGAGTCATATTGTCGGGTATTTGTTTGCATTTGCTGGCCGTTTTGGAGTTGGTTAGGTTGTTGTTGTTGTTGGCCGTATTGCTGTTGTTGCCCTTGTTGCTGTTGTTGTTGGTTATCTGCAAGTGGTTAGAGCTGCTCATGCAGATTTCATGCAAATTGGGAACTTTTGGATGTCGTCGTCCCTAAAAACGCAAAAATGGCTGAAAATTTGAATTTTTTCGTCTCTTTTTTAGCATTTCGGTTACGATAACCCTAAAATTGGCTAAAAATCCCGGAGAATCGTTTTTGGGTTTCAAAGCACATTAAAAATGACGATTTTCACGTTTTAAAGGCACAGTGAAGTCAGATTTTGATGCAGTAAGCGATTAAACCCGGGTTTTCCGGTTTAAATGGCCGCTGAAGGCTAATTTTTCTAGAAATTCGAGGTATGGCACTCAAATTATCGCCTTAAAAAGTACTGTAGTATGGCGAGGGCGTCGTCGACTGTCCATTGGAGTAATCGTACTGTTGCTGTTGCTGCTGCTGGCCGTTCGCCATTTGGCTGTCGTCGTACTGGGGGAACTGGGTGCTGCTTCCGTACTGCTGCTGGTTAGCTGCAATTTGGGAACATGCACGTTTTCATGCAGTAATAGATTAGATAACTGAGGATTTTCATGCCGTAATCGATTAGGGAACTTAGGATGATGGCTTAATCGAATAATCTGAATTTTTTGGGGTTTAAAAGGCCATTGAAGCTACTTTTTTATGGCGTAATCGATTAGACAGAGCTGTTTTCATGTCGCAATCGTTTAGACGTAGCCACTTTGATGGTGTACTCGATTAGACCATGTTTTCGCGGGTTTTAGATGACTGCTTGAGCAAGATTTGATGTCGTAATCTATTAATAATAGCTTATTTCATGCCGTAATCGATCCAGTCTTGGTCTTAATCTTTTAAAGGGCCATTTTAGACAATTTTTTAATTTTTAGAAGGCCAGAAACTTGGTATTTTCAAGCCGTAAGCGATTAGAGATAGCTTTTTTCCGGCCGTAATCGATTAGATCTTGGTTTTAATCTTTTAAAGGACCATTGAAGGCAATATTGACGCTTCCTAGGGGGCGAGTAATTCTAGCTACTCACTGGCATCATACTGCACGCCATTTCCCATGTTGTTCTGGCCGTTTTGCTGTTGCTGGCCGTACTGCTGGCCGTACTGCTGTTGTTGGCCGTACTGTTGCTGACCATTCTGGTTGGCTGAAAGAGGCGAAAAACGGTTAGGAAGCTGTTTAAAAAACAACCAAAAAACGCAATGTTTCCAAAATGAAAAATTGTTAGTAAATTTGCATGGCAAATATCTATCTAGTCTAACGAGTTAAATTTAATTCGATAAAGTTAGTTAACTGTAAAATGCTCTGTAAAATACTGTGGAAAAATAGAAAATCGAAATTAAGGATTGAAATTTAGAAGAAAACGAACATTTTTTTGGAATTTTTCGACTTTATAAGTCTATTTTTGAATAATTGAAAAGTTTAGAGACTCTAATTTAGCATTTAAAGACGATTTAGACAACCTTAAAGTTCTCGGAAATTAAAATAATAGACTCACTGGCATCATACTGGACCCCGGTGCCGACGCCCGAGTTCTGGCTGTACTGCTGCTGTTGCTGCTGCTGCGGCTGGTACTGCTGGGATTGTTGTTGGTTCTGGAAAATGTGGGGCTAATGATCGCTGCTAGCTTGCCTGATTTTCGGGTTCCTCAAAGGTTTTTGCTAGCTTGCCCGCTCATTTCGGGACACGCAAATTGTCTCTACTAGCCTGCTCGCGAATTTAAGGGCTCCCAAATAGTCTCTGCTAGATTGCCAGCTCTTTTCCGAATTCCGAAATGGTCTCTGCTAGCTTGCCCAACCATTTTACTTTCTCAAATGGTCTCTGCTAGAGTGCCCGCTCGCTTTAGGGTCCCCAATGGTCTCTGCTAGCCTGCCGCGTCTCGCCAGGCGTCCTAAATGGTCTCTGCTAGCCTACCATCGCGATTTCGGAATTTTCCGAACTTCCCTAATGAACCCTGCTAGCTTGCCCGCTATTTTCGGACCCTTAAAGCATGTTTGCTAGCCTACCAACTCGAACTATTTCTTCAAAGAATCTGCTAGCTTACCTGCTGGGTGTTCGTCGATCCTCCGGCGGTGCTCACGGGCATGTAATACGTGGGGTAGTAGTAATAATACGGGTAGGTGTAGTAGTACTGCGCCGAGGCCACCGCTAACAGGGCGAAGAGTAGGGTCAGGCTGGAAATGGGGTTATAATGGTGTCACCGTCCCTTTAAAGCGATTTTCGACTGAAATTTGGGCATTTCTAGGTGTCACCGTCTCTTTAAAACAATTGTCTGCGCGAAATTTGATGATTTCTAGGTGTTGCCGTCCCTTTCAAGGCGCAAAACATATGTCTTAACCCCTTTAAAAGCCCAAATTTGGCAATTTCTAGGTGTCACCGTTCCTTTAGGAGCTCAAAATAGGTGTCACCGTCCCTTTAAAATCACAAAAATGCCAAAAACTCACGTCTGCATGCCGGCAAGTATCGTAATCGACTTCCGAAGTGCTCTCCGTCAATTTCCGGTCATTTTATAGGGCCCTCGACCCCACCGGGGAAAAGTTTGTTTTCCGCCATTCTCGGGTTAGCAAAGCGAGAGAGAGAGAGAGAGAGAGAGAGAGAGAGAGAGAGAGAGAGAGAGATCGAACGAAATGAAGTGAGAAGTTCGGCGCTCCTGAATTTTCACCCCTCCAAGAGTTTCTCCATTTTTCTGCAAACAAAAAACGGCGCACCCGAACACTCTCCGGTGGTCAGCAGGAGAAATTCGAGAAGAGCAAACTGGCAGGGATTCTTGGGGGAATTGGCAGAAAAATTGGGGAAAATATTTATTCAAAACGAAAGGGCATGCTAGCAGAGATTCTTTGGAAATTGACAAAAATGCCGAGAAATGAGATAACGGACAACGCAAGCTAGCAAAGATTTTTCAGGAAATAAGACATCAAGGCAGGCTAGCAGAGATTCTTGGGGTGCGGCTGAACCTCAGGCAAGCTTGCAGAAACCATTTGAGAATCTAACGCTGGCAGGCTAGCAGAAATCTTTAGGGAAACGAAGAAATAGGGCAGGCTAGCAGAGATTTTTGGGAATTAAGGGAACTGGGATTCTCTGATTTTCATATCGTAATCCATTTCATTTTTCAGGTTCTCGATGCGCACGGCCGCTTCTCAAAGGACCTCTGCTAGCCTGTCCGCTCGAGAAGCTCTTCCTCAATGATCACTGCTAGCTGGCCCTCACGATATAACTGATTTCTAAGGTATAATTTTTGAAATAGTGTTAAATTCTTTTTAAGGTTTTATCGGCAAAGAAGAGACCATCAGACGATTCCCCAAGGATCCCTGCTAGCCTGCTCTCCTGGAAAATAGTTACGGCAAGACGACGGCTAGATGGGCCTTGAAGCGAAGCAGTGAGCCAGCATGGGGGATATTTTTCTAGTTTTAGGGTGCTGTAGTTTAGCCTAAGGGTGGGTTACGGTATTTTGAGGATTTTTCTAAAAATTTTTGGACTTGGGGTACTGTATTTTTTGTGCCTGAATTTCGGGTTTTTTGGGCTACTGTATTTTATGTGCATGATTTGTAAATATTTGGGGTCGGGTTACGGTATTTTTGAGGGATTTTAAAGTTTTAAAATTTTAAGATAATTACGTAAACGTTTAAATGGGTCTAAAAGTCTTAACTTAAAATCGAAACGACTTTTTTTGGTTATTTTCGTTTTTGACAATTTTTGGTGTTATCGTTGACTGGAAAACGCGGAATTTTGCACTCTACTGTACCTCTAAATCAATTATAGAAACGATTACGGTAGGTATTAGATTTTGTTTTACTTTTGACAAGGCTTCTCGGTAAAGAGGAGCTACGTGGACCAGCCGTGATTTTTTGGGAATCGATTACGGTAGGTTTTAGTTTTTCTGGGGCATGGTATTTTGCGCATTCCTACTGCAATTAGGTGCATTTGGTACTTTGGGCTAGACGCCGTTCAGAGGCGTTAGGCGTACTAGCAGGGATTCTTGGGGAATCGATCGGAATCGAGCCTAGCAGATGTTCCCTGCGGAATTTTTCTAGCTTTCTAAAACACGATTTCCAAATTCTCTCTGCTGGCTGACCCATCTCTCTCTCTCTCTCTCTCTCTCTCTCTCTCTCTCTCTCGCTCGCCCCCCCCCCATGCTTTTTTGGCGGCTCCCCGGAAGCCAAAAATACAGAGATAAGCCCCAGCAGAAGCCGCTTGCCCTCTAAATTGATTTATCGGCTTTTTATGGGCACACTTTCGCGATGAAATTCCTATTATTTCTACTGCTTGGCCTCGTGCCAACCCACGCAATTGGTTACGGCAGGAATTTCATGGTCGCCGGCCTCTACACTACAAATTTGGGGCCTTCTTGTGACCAAATCCAGCCCGATCAAGTGATTCTAAGCGAAGCCGGCAAATTCGCGACTCAATATGCTAATGAGTGAGTGATTTTTGAGATTACGAACTCAACGTTTTACATTCCCAAATAATCGCTGCTAGCTTGCCAAAAACTTTTAAAGAGAAAGACAAATTCCCCAAATCTCCTCTGCTCGTTTGCAGACAAATCCTGGACCCGCTCGGCATCCACATGCACCATTTCACGCTGGAGACGTGCAATGATCGAGCACACACACTCCAGGAGACGGTCTTCATGATTCTCAGGGAGAGGGCGGTGAGCGGGGAGTCCGATTTTGTATTTTGTACTCTGTAGCTTATACACTGTAGTCGCTACGTATTGTGTTGTAGTTCGTAGCGCGCATTCTTTTGTAGTTTTTGGTTTGTAGCCGGCTGTGTCCTCCTGTCTGTAGCTTGTAGCTTGTAGCTTGTAGTTTTAGTCTTTATTTTCCTTGCTCTTTTTTGTAGTTAGGGGTCTGTAATATCGTAGCTGTCTTTTTCTAGTTTGTGGTGTTGTTTGTAGTCTGTAGTCTGCCGTTTCTAGGATTTCTGCAAAGGTCGCGACACTCCTCCGACCCGTAATCCAAATCCCGATCCTTACCTCGGTGATCTGGTGGCCGTCATGGGGTCGTTTGACTGCGACCTCGCGGAGAACATCAACTTCTTGCTGCAGGTCAGCTAGCAGAGATTCTTTGAGGAATTGAAGGGGCAGGCTAGCAGTGTTAATTTGCGGAATTTCTAGGCCTTCTGCATCCCGTTAATCTCGACGAGTTGCACGGCCAGCCAAATGCACAACTGGCTGCAGTTTCCGTATTTTTTGAGGACGGCCACCGACGATACTTATCGGCAAGCTAGCAGAAATCCTTGAGGAATTTGGGAATGATATTTTTAGTGCCCAGGTGATGTACGATGTGCTGATGTCGCAGGAATGGTATCACATAGCTGTGATCAGTGACGTCAGCACCACCGGGTCCTCGCTGTCGTCACAGTTCAACAATTTGGTGGGGGTTTTGGACTTTTGGGCGCTTTTCGTGTTATTTTGCCCACAGCGAGCGCTTCTGACTACGATTTTCTGAATCTACGCACAAAATTACGTCGGAAAACTCTTCAAAATAATTTTTTTAAAGTTTGAATTATTTTTGATAAACCGAGAACTAACTTTCTCTTCCCTCTGGAGCGCTTTTGAGGCTTTTAGACCACTTTTCGTGCTATTTTGCACACAGCGAGCGCTTTTCACTATGATTTTTTTGAATCTACGCGTCGGACAACGCTTTAGAATAATTTTTACAATGCTAGGATTTCTGTAAAAATCAGTCTAACCTTTTTGCAGCTCTACTACTGCACAGCGGCACAGGATGCGAATCCGATATTCCGGAATCCCTGCATCGAGCGCACGTTTGAATTCGACTGCAGTAATCACCAAAAGGTGCCTGGGATTTTATGTCGGAATCGATTAAAGCCGATTTTGAGGCCCAATTTGGTAGCGTAATCAATTGACTCGAACTTAATGACGTAATCGGTTAAACCGCTTTTGCGTCGCGTAATCGTTTGAGCCGGATTTCCGGGCATATTCTTTTAGACGCAGCGAAAATTTGATTGCGTAATCGATGAACCCGAATTTTATGACGTAAATTATTAATTTAATTGACGCTTTTAATTTTAAATTTTTGTTTTTATTTTAGATTAAATTTTTAATTTATTCCGTTTAATTTGTTTTTGCGCCGTAGTCGGCGTAATCCCCGTCGAATTTCATGGCGTAATCGTACGAAGTTGATAGCGTAATCGATTATACATATTTTGATGGCGTAATCGATTGTGCCGAGTTTCCCAGCACAGTCTAATTTCGTGACGTAATCAGTTAAACTGGCCTTGCGCCGAATTAATTGCCATAATCGATAAAGATAAATTTAGTTGCCGTAACCTATTGCAATTGTTTTTGCACTTTGTAGGTGACCGCCAAGCTCTACGAACTCCGTGATTTTCTCGTCGAGAGCGACGTGCGAGTTTTTGTGGTGTTTGCCAAGGATGATTGCATGGCCACAATTTTGCTGGATATCCAGGCGCTCGGGTATAAGAGGGTGGGTTTTGTAGCTTGTAGTCCTGGCTCCTATCCTTTATTGTAGTCCGTTGCGTATACGGTATGTGTAGTTTGTATTCTATGTTTATCCCCGCGCTTACGCGTTTCCTTATAGTATCATTTTTGTAGTTTGTAGTCTAGTTCCGAAAACTACAATGCCTGGTAGTTTGTAGCTTGTTCGGTGTCTTGTGTCGTAGTCTGTAGTCTCGTACACTCCCGCGTATTTTTTTGTCGTTCGATGTCTAGTTTGTATTGTAGCCTGTATCCTCTGGTTGTAGCCTGTAGGCTGTACTTTGTAGTTTGTAGCCTAACTTTCAGGGAGATCTCCAATTTGTCCTACCCTCGGTGCCGCTAAACGACTCGAATCTGGACATTCTGGAGTATGCCTATGCGGTAGATGATTATATCGAATTGGTGGATACGTTCGAGAATGTCATTATGAATACGCCGATTAAGGATACGGAGGTAGAGGAGATCGGCTTAGGCTTAGGCTTGGCCTTGGCCTTAGACTTAGGCTTGGCTTCGGCTGGGCTTGGCTTAGGCTTAGGTTTAGGCTTGGCTTAGGCTTTGCTTAGGCTTGGCTTAGACTTGGCTTTGGCTTAAGCTTAGACTTGGCGTAAGCTTAGGCTTAGGCTTAGCCTTCTCGACTTCCAGGTCGGCCCCTTCCGCCAACTCATAATGCTCGACAACCTCTGCTGGTATGGCAACGAAAACGCCCCGTTCAGCTTCGAATGTAATGGCACTGAGACGCTACGCGTCCCTCCGCAGCTCGGCAAGCTAGAGGAGATTCTTGAGGAATTTTTTCCCGTTTTTTAGGTTTCCGCCAAGCCCGTCGAGTCATCGACTCGCTCGTCTGGATTGCGCAGTCGATGGAGCGTTTGCATCTCAACTTTTGCGACGCTATCCCGGGATTTTGCCCGGATTTCTTTCAAAAGTGAGTGGGCAGGCTAGCAGAGATTCTTTGAGGAATTTCAGCTTCAACGGCGCTTCCTTTTTCGAGGCTATGAACCACACCTCGTTTAATTCCTTTGATTCTGAGCACATTTTTCGGCCTGTTAATGGCAGTGCCCAGCCGATTTATAACATCTATCAGCGCCAATCGGTGGGTTTGGGCTTCGGCTTCGGCTTCGGCTTAGGCTAGGCTTTGGCTTAGGCTTAGGCTTAGGCTTAGGCTTAGGTCTAGGCTTGAGCTTCGGCATCGGCTTGGGCTTTGGCTCAGGCTTGGGCCTAGGCTTGAGCTTAGGGTTAGGCTTAGCGGCTATAGGCTTGACGTTCCCAGTTTTTAGACGGCCTGGGTTACGGTATTCGGGAAATACAACCCGCTGGAGGAATTGGAGCCGGCTGAGGACAATGTGGATCCCATTGACATTCCGATACTGTCCGCAATTCTCAACGAGACGCGGACTTGCCAGAAGGACTGTGAGAATGAGATTGCGAACTTTCAGGTTTGCCTTCCACGGGCCTTTAGGAGAGGGGATATCTAGCAGAGATTTTGGAGGAACTCGACGAGGGGTCTACTAGCAGGGTTTTTTTTGTGCGATGAATGTCCTTCTAAATCACAATCGACCAGATAGTTCTTTCTTCCCGTGAACTTGTTGAATTTGCCTTCAATGGCCCTTTAAAATCCTCTAAAACCCCAATTTTGCAGCCAGGCTGCTGCTGGAGCTGCACAGCCTGCCCGACATTTGCCGTGGTCAATGCTACGGTGCAGGTATGATTCGGGGTTTTGAAGCGAGCGTGACATCCCTCTAGGCTTGCGTCCAATGCCCCGAAAATCGCATTCCGAATGAGCATCGGAATGCTTGTGTCAGTTTTGCGACGACCGACTTGTTTCTGAAGCCGAGCAGCGAGATGAACGTGGGTTGGGCTTAGGCTTGGCTGAGACTTAGGTTTAGGCTTAGGCTTGGGCTTGGCTTAGACTTCTGCTTGGGCTTGGTTTGGCTTGGCTTAGGCTTGGCTTGGCTTGGCTTAGGCTTAGGTTTAGGCATAGAATTGGGCTTAGCTTAGGCTTAGGCTTCTGCTTAGGCTTAGCATTAGGTTGAAGCTTGACTTTCAGGTTATTATCGTCCTCGATGCTCTAGGAATTCTCTTAACCCTCCCCGCCCTAGCTGTTCTGTTCTATCGCCGTGATACGCCTATGGTACGCGCGGCTACGCCCGACTTGGCTTTTCAGCAGGTATCGCAACACATTTTCCCCAAATTATCTAGTTTTACCCCTTGACGCCCTTTTTAGACGGTTATAATTTGCCTACTCTTCATCTCATCTGGGCTTATGATCCCGAGGTAACCCATATTTTAAAGCTTTTTATCTCTTACAGTACCTCTCCGGTCGCTTGTGGCTTCGTGTGGGGGATGTCGGCATTGCTACTGACGGCTACTCACTCGATTTCACTTGCTAAATCGTTGAGAATCTCGAGAGCTGGGTACGGTAGATTTCTGGGGATGGCGGATTTGGCTTCGATGGTCCTTTAAAGCCATTCTTTCCAAATTTTCGCCTTCAATGGACCTTTAAAAACATTTTTAGACCGTTTACGATCGATTTTTGGCTTCACGGTCATTTAAATTCATTCTAAGCGGATTTTCTTATGGATTTTTGCCTTCTATGGCCCTTTAAAACGAGATTTTTCCAGTTTTTTCGTCCGATTTGGTCAAAGGGTCAAAACTCCTCAAAAAGCTTCGTTAATTCTCCACGCTTCGATGGTTTTCATACAGGTGCGTCTCTCTCTCTCTCTCTCTCTCTCTCTCTCGCTCTCTCTCTGTCTCCTAAAAAATCCGCTTTTTTAGTTTTTCATCATAACCCTCTGGCTTTTACTGCGCCCACCCTCAATTCAATGGGATCGCGTAACGCTTTTCCCGAGTTGCACGTAAGGCTACAAACTACAGCCTTTGACTACAAGCTACAACTCTTTACAGTAGCAACAAGGAGGGCCAAACTATCGTACTCTTGCTCAGTCCCGCTGTTATCCTCGTGATCAGCCTGTATTTTCAGAAGAAAGCTTGTGGAAACCAGTACATTTATCAGGTTGGGGAAACGCCGCGAAGCGGTTTTTTTCCAGAGTTTTTGCAAAACGGCACTAGCTTTACACTTACGGATTCTGCCTTTAATGGCACTTTAAGGATAAAGATCAGTAGTCAAATATGACGTTCGCCGCGAAGCGGTTTTTGCCTAATTTTGCCTTCATTGTCCCTTTAAACCCCTTCCTAGGTAAAGCAAGCGCGAATTGGCCTGGCAGGTACCCTATGCTTCCTCGTGAACTATTTGGTGTTTATCGCCCTGATTTTGATCAAGGTAGGGAGGTGTCGCCGCCCCTTTAAACTTCCTAAATGTTCTCTGCTATCTTGCCGGCTGTTTCCTTAAAAATCTCTGCTAGCGTGCCCTCAATTCTAGGGCTCCACTGATCAATTCCGGACCATTGTGCTGATGTGTATTCCGATGGTTACCGGGTATTTGGCGTGGATCACGAACTTGTTGCCGACGACGTGGGAGGTGGGCTTGGGTTGGGCTTTGGGGTAGGTATGCTTAGGCCTGAACTTTTAGGCTTAGGCCTGGGGTTAGGCTTGGCTTAGGCTTGTCTTGGGCTTGGGCTTGGCTTAGGCATAGGCTTGGGCTTAGGCTTGGCTTTGTGGTACACTCTATTCTCATCTTTCAAGGTCCTAACCAAGGCCAAGCAGAACGATCAACAATACGTGAGCCGGCAGCGGAGCCGACAATTCCAGGTAGGACCCCCGGGGGAAAAGGCCGACCGGGGAGAAGCCGAGATCGCGGGGGGTGGTCCCCAGAGGGATAAGCGGGGAAGAGGGGGATGTTACAACACTGTGGGTGGGCCAAACAATTAGCGGAAACGATGGAAGAGGGAGCTAATTGAGTGATGGGCAGGCTAGCAGAGACAATTGTGGAAGCGTAGGGCAAACTAGCAGGGGTTTTTGAGGAATTGAAGGGGAGGGGCAGGCTAGCAGAGGTTCTGTGAGGAATTTGGAGGCGATAGGCAGGCTAGCAGAGATTGTTTGAGGAATTGAAAGGGAAGCTAGCAGAGGTTATTTGCGGAATTGGAGGGGAGTGGCAGGCTAGCAGAGATCCTTTGCGTCTTTTCTTTTCTAGGGCATGCTAGCCTAGATTCTTTGAGGCACTGGAAGGGAGGGGATGCAGCGGCGGACTAGCAGAGATTCTTTGCGTTTTTTTCCTTTTTCCTAGCTAGCTAGCAGTGATTCTTTGAACGGCTCCCCCACGTGTTTTGAGCACTAACAAACAAGTGTCAGCTGCGTCTCCCCTATGACCTTCCCCGTTCGCTGTGTATCACACTGATCTCCGGGGTCACCGCTCAAGGGAGTAAACAACTTTTAAAGGGCCATTGAAGGCAAAATCCTCAAGTTTCAAGGCCCTAGTGAAGTCATTTCCAGCATGGAAACATCATGTACTACGTGGAGTCGGTGATCTTCAACCGGCCAAAGGGGTTGACCATTAACACGATCGATTCGGCGGATGGTGTTAGGGAGAAGTGAGAGAAGAGAGAGAGAGAGAGAAAGAGAGAGAGAGAGAGAGAGAGAGAAAGAGAGAGAGAGAGAGAGAGAGAGGGGGAAAGGAACAGAGCGAATTCCGCTGGCGTCTGCAATTCCGGGAATTTCCGCGAATTTGCTCTTGACGCCACAGCCGAGGGTCCGCGGGCAAACAAATGACCGCATCGGGCTTTGTTTTCTTGGTTTCTCTCTCCCTCTCTCGCTCTCTCTCGCTCTCTCTCCCTGCCTCGCCTTGATTTTGCATAATTTGTAATTATTGTTGTACTAAGATGTTTTTAAATGAAGATAAATTGACACTTCAAGGCGAATTACGAACTACAAATCCACAGAATTTTTAGTTTAGCGTCCCTTTAAAATAGTTTCCTCAAGGTTCTCTGCTCGTTGGCCTATAGTCTATAGAAAACAACGGCTTCAATGTTCCTTTAAAGCGAGTTTCCACAAGAATCTATGCTAATCGCCGGCTGGGTAACTTTTTTTTTCAAAAAATCTGCTAATTAGCCCTCTGGCAAACTTTTGCTGAATGTTCTCTGCTAGCCATTCATTGTTTTTAATTTTCAGCGCTCTTTTTCAAAGCGTTTCCTCAGGGATCTCTGCTAATTAGCCCTCGGCCCAAACTTTTCCGCTTCTCGGTCACCCAATTTGAATGCATACCCCGTTCTGCCCTTTGTCTGTGGGCCCTGGGGCACATGTGGCACGTCTGTCAGTACGGGGGGGAGACGACCCAGACCAGATGTGTCCTCCTTGCGCAACTGTCTTTTCCGCGATACACTAAATCACGTGCCAAGACGGCCGGGTTATGGTAGTTTTGAAATTGAATTTGGTAGTTTTTTGAATTATCAGGACTAAAAACTATAGGCTACAAAATTTCCTAGCGGATGTTTGGATTGTACGGGCCTTTAAAGGACCAATGAAGTAAAAATCTATGGTTTTGTTAGCTAAATTGAGCAATTTTAATCGTTTACACCATGAAAATCGGAATTACTAGATTTTAAAGGGCTACCCAAATCAGGGAACCGGTTACGCAATTAAATTTCTGGCTGTTGCCGCGCCTTTAAGGTGTCGTTATTGGTTATTGGAATCGATTGGCGCTATGAAAATAGAAGTGATTGTCTTCTCCAGCTGTCGCCGTCCCTTTAAAGTGTCGTAAGCTGCGAGAATTAAAAGATTACGCTATGAAAAAAGAAATTTGGCTTTTCCAAGCTGTCCCCATCCCTTTAAAATGTCGTAATCGCCTATTCGAATCGATTACGCAACTAAATTCGTGACTTCGGCCCTCTAAAGAACGGTTGAAGTCAGGAACCAGTTACGCTATGCATTTCCCAGCTGTCCCCACCCCTTTAAGATGTCGTAACCGATTTTTTTTGCGATTCAAACCAAGTGATAATAAGGCATTTATCAGGCGGCAGGCACTTTGTAACGGAATACAAGGAGCACGAGGGGGAGGAGGAGGAAGAGCAGAAGAAGCTTCTCCTGGAAGCTGCTCCCTCCTGAATTGCATAGCGTATAGTTGCGTAGGGTAACGTATAGGTTGTATTTTTTTGGGATATGATATGGCGGTGGCAGGACGAGCAGCACGAGAGAGGGAGAGAGTAGAGAGAGTGGAGAGAGACGCAGAGCGCTTAGAAGCACTTGCGGTGGACGATGGACGGGCCCGACTCGTCGTACTCGGCCTGGAAAAGGATCGATTATGAAATGAAATTTATTGGAAAATGGTCGAGGGTTCGATTCCCGCCCAGGACAACCTTTTTGCTTTTTGCTTTTTCTAGCTATAGAATTGAAAAGTAGCGAAAAAGAGCAAATCACGCTATGAAATCCCCTACCCTGGCCGCATTACGCTATGTAAATGAAGAAATGAGCCTGACCTTGGAGATCCACATCTGCTGGAAGGTGGAGAGGGAGGCGAGGATGGATCCTCCGATCCACACAGAGTATTTGCGCTCCGGAGGGGCAATGATCTTGATCTTCATCGTGCTGAAAAAGGGGCATTTAGAGATTCCCTATTTGTCTCGGCTAGCTACCCTCCCTAGAGGTCGCTGCTAGCCTGCCCTTTCCCACTAGCCTCTCCTAGCTGTCACTGTCTCTTTAAAAGCTACCGTAGCTAACCGGCAATTCGCCAATGGTCTCTGCTATCCTCCTCCTCCCTCCCCCAATAATCCCTGCTAGCCCTCCCCTCTCATACCTTGGTGCGAGGGCGGTGATCTCCTTCTGCATTCGGTCAGCGATTCCGGGGTACATGGTGGTTCCTCCCGAAAGGACATTGTTCGCATACAGATCCTTCCTGATGTCGATATCGCACTTCATGATCGAGTTGTACACCGACTCGTGCACTCCAGCCGATTCCATACCCAGGAAAGAGGGCTGAAAATGGGGCAGTTAAGGGAGATATACATTGCGTAATCGGATAGACCTCAGGACCAGGGTTGGTCACAAAGGATCCGGTCCGCGGACGGTCCGCGGTCCGGTCCGGTCCGGATCGGTCCGAGAGGATCCGAAAATTTCGGACCGGACCGGACCGGACCGGACCGGACCTCCGGACCGGACCGGATCCGTTTAGGATCCAGTGTGACCAACCCTGCTCAGGACGATCAATTACGCCATGAAAATGGAGTGAACTAGCCATTTGGATGGCGTAATCGGATAACCCTAATCAATTACGACACCCAAAAACACACCTGGAACATGGCCTCGGGGCAACGGAAACGCTCGTTTCCGACGGTGATCACCTGACCGTCAGGGAGTTCGTACGACTTCTCGAGGGAAGAGGAGGAGGCGGCGGTGGCCTGAAAATCGAGAATTAGCCCCCAATCCATAGCTATTTCTGGCTTCGATGGTCCTTTAAAGTGGTGTGTAAAGAGGTGTGGAACGTAGCGGTAGGTACGTACTGCGCTAGGGATACGGTATTCCGGGTGTAGTTTGGAATCTAGCGTAGCTAATGGCTAGGCTGGTTGTCAGTTACTGTATCCAGAAACCAAAAATGACAAATCCCCAAAAAATAGCGTACCATTTCCTGCTCAAAGTCGAGGGCGACGTAGCAGAGCTTCTCCTTGATGTCGCGGACGATTTCACGCTCGGCGGTGGTGGTGAAGGAATAACCACGCTCAGTGAGGATCTAGAAACACATTTCTCTCGTTTTAAAGGGATGGTCGCAGGTAGAGAGAGAGAGAGAGAGAGAGAGAGAGAGCTACAGTAAGGCTACAGTACAGTACCTTCATCAAGTAGTCGGTGAGATCACGGCCAGCCAGGTCAACACGGAGAATGGCGTGGGGAAGGGCGTATCCCTCGTAGATCGGGACGGTGTGGGTGACACCATCACCAGAGTCCAGAACGATACCTAGAAACGGACATTCGATTACGACATGGAATTCCCAGGGGAGATCTAGTCATTTTACAGCTATTTTGGAAGTGAGAAGGGCTTATTTACAACTGGTTAAGGTATCCTAAAGATATCAGAGCTATTTAACTCATTTCAAAGGGCCGCTGAAGGCAAGAATCCATAGCCCCCCCGATAGGAGAAGAGAACTGACCGGTGGTACGTCCGGAGGCGTAGAGGGAGAGCACGGCCTGAATGGCGACATACATGGCCGGGGAGTTGAACGTCTCGAACATGATCTGGGTCATCTTCTCCCTGTTGGCCTTGGGGTTAAGCGGGGCTTCAGTGAGGAGGACTGGATGTTCTTCCGGGGCCACGCGAAGCTCATTGTAGAACGTGTGATGCCAGATCTTTTCCATGTCGTCCCAGTTGGTCACGATTCCTGTAAAAAGGGGGTAAATAGCGGAATAGAGCAGTCGGTTAGAGGTTGGGCTATTGGGTGAAGGGCTCGAGTTCGAGTCCCGTCGAGGTCAGAGTTTTGCTTTTTGGCTTTTTGGATGGGATATAGGTTTTCAAACATGCTGAGAAAGATCCTGCTAATTATAAAGCCGATTGGTAACAGGATAAGCTAGTAATCTCAAGGCTCGGGTTCGACCCCCGGGCGCGACAGACTTTTTGCTTTTTGCTTTTTAAGCGGAGAACATAAAAACTTGCCGTGCTCGATGGGGTACTTGAGGGTGAGGATACCCCTCTTCGACTGGGCCTCGTCTCCAACGTACGAATCCTTCTGTCCCATACCAACCATGACACCCTGATGCCTGGGACGGCCGACGATTGAGGGGAACACGGCACGGGGAGCATCGTCTCCCGCGAAACCGGCCTATAACATGGATATAGTCAAAAATATCTAAAGATCGAGCTATAGAGCAGTGGGTAAGGCTAGAGTATCAGGTGGAGGGTCGGGGGTTCGATCCCCGCCGAGGTAAAAGTTTTGCTTTTATCTTTTCTAGGTTTTCGCGTATGCTGAGAAAGGCTCTGCCAATTATTATATTGTGGATTGGTAAACGCACAGGCTGAACATACGAACGCAACGGACGCAAACGATGAAATTGGTATTCTAACAGTTTAAAAAACCGCTTAAAGCCCGGTAAAAGAGACTACAGTACCCCAGAAGCAAAAAGAAAATATCCAAATTCTCACCTTGCACATGCCGGATCCATTGTCCACAACAAGAGCGGCAACCTCCTCGTCGCACATCGTGTCTGTTTACCTGCAAAAAAAAGAATATATAGCGTTTTAAAGGGCCATTGAAGGCAAGTGGAAATCGAGGAAACATGGAAAATTCAGGAGGATCCGTGTAAAGGCTTTTTGAAGACAGAGTATTGGATTTGAAGGTAGGTTGAGTATGGATTTGATGATTTAGATATACTATGAAGCGAGAGAGAGAGAGAGAGAGAGAGAGAGAGAGAGAGCGAGAGCGAGATAGAGAGAGAGAGAGAGAGAGAGAGAGCGATAGAGAGAGAGAGGGCGAGAGCGAGTTCGAGAGAATGAGATCGTATTAAGCGGGCCCTCAGGCCATATTTGTTTGTTCTGGCGGGACACCTTGAAGATCTAGGGGGCCCCGATTGGCCACGGTCTATTATTGGAGCGGGTAGCCGAAGGAGGAAATTGGGGAATTTGCAAAATTTAGAGAATTAGCATTTACGAGTGTCGGGAACCTTGGAGTGATCCTCAAAATTCCTTAAGAATCTCTGCTAGCTGTTCGTAGGTTTAAGAAAATCTTAATGCCAAAAAATCAAGCCAAAAACTCCCTAAGAATCTCTGCTAGCTTGGGAATGTGGATTTTAAAGGGATTGGAAGCTTAAAAGTAGCTTGAAATTCCTAAAGAATCTCTGCTAGCTAGCCCTTCGCTTAAGAGTTGCTTAAGAAGCATCAGCAAAATGAAAAGTCCAAAATTCTCAAAGGATCTCTGCTAGCCGGCCCCCGCCAGCCCGGATTCCGAGCTGGCGATGGTCTATGCGAATGTGGGGGGCTTTTCCTTGGCTGTGTGGCTGGGTGGAGGGGGCGGAGAGGACAGCTGCCACTTGGCGAGGATAGGGCCCCACACACACACGGGGGCGTCTTTTCCGCCCAACCAGCAGCCGGGACGATTCTAGGAATTGGGCCTCTTGGCTTTGTCGCTCTCTCTCTCTCTCTCTCTCTCTCTCTCTCTCTCTTCAGCCACACACTGTTTGTTGTTCTCTCTCCCCCACCTCCCCCACCGATCTTCTAGGAAAATGAGTCCCCCCACCAAGCCTAGGCCAGCCCGGGAGTTCTCCGCGATTTTCAAGCGGCTAAGGCAGTCCTGAGGAAATGGAGTAAAGTCTGACGGGGAGAGCTAGCAAAGGTTATTTGGGAATGTAGCCAGCTATCAGACACCACTCGGGAATTTTCTGGGAGTCCTAGAAGGCTAGCAGGGATTCTTAGGGAAAACAAGAGAAATTAGCGTGGCAAGCTAGCAGTGATTATTTGGGGAAAGGCATGCTAGCAGAGATTCTTCGGAACCATCTCACAGATCAGGACTTTCTTGGTTGTTTTGACTCCGGCTTTTTCCTCCTGCCATTTTCAAGGAATCGGTTCGAGCTGTTCGTCATTTCTGTCGCTCTCTCCCTCTCTCTCTCTATCTCTCTCTCTCCTCTGTAAATAGATACCTCCTCCCCCTCTCTTTCCCTTCCCAGCCCCTTTAATCTTTCCCAGGAAATTCTCCCGGCTTGCTCGTCGCTTCCAAGAAATGACATGCTAATCTCGAAACGCAAGTGGGGATTACGTGGCGGTAAAAAGTGGAAAATCGACAGCAAACTAAAGCTGAAAAACAAACATTATTGCGGGATTCTACTAACTCACTAACTAGCAGATATTCTTGAGGCTCCTTGTCTAACCTGGGTCTAGGCTCAGTCGTACGGAAAAAACGGATCCGGCATATCCGGAAACAGAAGCCTAAAACCAGAAAAAATTGCGAAAAAAATTGATTTTCTACCTCGAAAAAATATTTCGTCACTTTGAGAGGTCGACCATGGAAATCGGCCATATCGATAGGCTTAGGTTTTAGGCTTAGGCTTAGGCTTAGGCTTAGGCTTAGGCTTAGGCTTAGGCTTAGGCTTAGGCTTAGGCTTAGGCTTAGGCTTAGGCTTAGGCTTAGGACCAGTCCCCGACTGGTATACTACGTCTTGGGGTCGGAGATTAGGCTTAGGCTTAGGCTTAGGCTTAGGCTTAGGCTTAGGCTTAGGCTTAGGCTTAGGCTTAGGCTTAGGCTTAGGCTTAGGCTTAGGCTTAGGCTTAGGCTTAGGCTTAGGCTTAGGCTTAGGCTTAGGCTTAGGCTTAGGCTTAGGCTTAGGCTTAGGCTTAGGCTTAGGCTTAGGCTTAGGCTTAGGCTTAGGACCAGTCCCCGACTGGTATACTACGTCTTGGGGTCGGAGATTAGGCTTAGGCTTAGGCTTAGGCTTAGGCTTAGGCTTAGGCTTAGGCTTAGGCTTAGGCTTAGGCTTAGGCTTAGGCTTAGGCTTAGGCTTAGGCTTAGGCTTAGGCTTAGGCTTAGGCTTAGGCTTAGGCTTAGACTTAGGCTTAGGCTTAGGCTTAGGCTTAGGCTTAGGCTTAGGCTTAGGCTTAGGCTTAGGCTTAGGCTTAGGCTTGGGCTTAGGTTTAGGTTTAGGCTAATTTTCGATCTCAACTGCCCCTAGTACAGTTTTTCACGCTCTTTCAAACGCGATACTTGGAACTTTGCCAACTTTGACATCCGCAATGTTCTAGCGGCTTAAAGTTTATTCTTAGGTTTAGGCTTTCGGCTCTACTTTCCCAAATGGCCTTCGCTAGCCTGCCGGTCCATTTTTACACGATTTCCGGTCCCAACCGGAACTCCGCGGTTCCGAAAAAACCTTCGCCAGCCCGCTGCACCTATTGTTAGGCCAATCGACCTCCGCCCGGCCGAATGTAATGATCAAAATCCGGCCCAGGGGCGACGTGTGCGTGCAGCCGGCTGTCCCCAGAAAAGCGAAACGCACAAAAAGCGTTGGGGCCTCCGGGGATGGGCCCTAAGGAAGGGCCGGGGCCCTTTCTTAAAGCCACCCCCAACGATCGATCTGATCGCTAGCTAGGGGGGAGGCTTTCCCAGAAATCGGGGGCTTCTTGCCGTGTCTCTCTCTCTCTCTCCTCCTCTCTCGCTTTGCCTTTCTCGCTCCTAGCTTTCCAGGTACCTGCTTCTCTGCGGCTCTAAGTCTCTCCCTATCTCTCCCGTAGCTGTACTCTCTCGCTCTCTCGCCCTCTCCGTCTCTCTGGCTCTCTCCCTCCCCCACTCTCTCGCCCTCTCCGTCTCTCTGTCTCTCTCCCTCCCCCACTCTCTCGCCCCATACAGCCCCATCCGCCCCCCTTACCCGCGGGGGTCGTCATATAAAGGCTGGACCCAGGGCCTGCTCGGGCCCTAGCCCTACCGCCCGGACCGCCCACGCTGTTTCGCTACAGTCGAAACAGGGAATATTTGCCAATATCTCTCCCGCTCTCTCTCTCTGACTCTCTCTCTCTTTCTCTCTCGCCGCCTATAGTTTGCATTAGCATCTCTTGAGCGCTTCCGGGCCTCTCAAGCCCTCGGGACTAGAAATTTGCATAGGATCCCTTAGTTTCTGAATTATTCAATTTTTATAGTGATTTTTCTGGCCTTCAGCGCTCTTTTAAAAGCATACTGTAGCTTGTAGGGCCTGAAATTTGCATAAGATGGATTTTCTGCAATTTTTAAGAAATTTTTCAGATCCTTTTTGCCTTGAAATTTCACACTCCTTGTATTTTCCTAGATTTTCGACGTTTTCCATTTTTCTCTTACCTTCAATGGTCCTTTAAAATGCTATATATTCTTTTTTTTTGCAGGTAAACAGACACGATGTGCGACGAGGAGGTTGCCGCTCTTGTTGTGGACAATGGATCCGGCATGTGCAAAGTGAGCATTTACATTTTGATTTTCCATCTCTGGTACTGTAGGTTGCGGTAGTCCCTTCAAGCGGCCTTTAATAGGCTTTTTCGGCTCTTAGAATACGAAATTTCATCCAAAAAATGTTAAAATTCAAAAAGCAAAAATTTTACCTCGAACCCCGGTTCTTCAGATTACTAGCCTGTGCGTGTACCACTCGGATATGTAACTAGCAGGAGCTTTCTCAGCGTAGCAAAAAACCTACAAAACCAAAAAGGAAAATTTTTATCTCGGCGGGGATCGAACCCTCGACCCCACACCCAACAGTCTATCCACTTACCGACTACTCTATAACCCTATTTTCTATAGATTTATTTATATCCCTTTTCCAGGCCGGTTTCGCGGGAGACGATGCTCCCCGTGCCGTGTTCCCCTCAATCGTCGGCCGTCCCAGGCATCAGGGAGTCATGGTTGGTATGGGACAGAAGGATTCGTACGTTGGAGACGAGGCCCAGTCGAAGAGGGGTATCCTCACCCTCAAGTACCCCATCGAGCACGGCAAGTTTTGATTTTTCCGCTTAAAAAAGCAAAAAGTTTGTCGCGGCCGGAGGTCGAACCCGAGCGGCCGGATTACTAGCTTACCCTGTTACCAATCGGCTTTATAATTAGCAGGACCTTTCTCAGCATGTTTGAAAACTTATATCTCATCCAAAAAAAAGCAAAAAGTAAACTCTGACCCCGGGCGGGACTCGAACTCGGACCCTCCACCCAATACCCAACCACTAACCGACTGCTCTATACCTCTAATTCACCTCCATTTTTACAGGAATCGTGACCAACTGGGATGACATGGAAAAGATCTGGCATCACACGTTCTACAATGAGCTTCGCGTGGCCCCGGAAGAACATCCAGTCCTCCTCACTGAAGCCCCGCTTAACCCCAAGGCCAACAGGGAGAAGATGACCCAGATCATGTTCGAGACGTTCAACTCCCCGGCCATGTATGTCGCCATTCAGGCCGTGCTCTCCCTCTACGCCTCCGGACGTACCACCGGTCAGTTCTCGTCTCTTATCGGGGGGGGGTATGGAGTTGCCTTCAACGGGCCTTTAAAGGGGTCGAGTAGGCGTTAGAAAATAGTGGAATCGATAGATTAGAGGTTAGATAAGAGATTCGCGTTCCTAGAATTGTTCTAACTACTGTAAAACTGGGATTCTCGACTCCAGAATATGGATTTTTTTCCTTCAGCGGCCCTTTAAAATGAATTAAATGGCTCTGATACCTTTAGAAGACCTTAACTACGATTTAAATGAGCCATTGTCACTTCTAAATAACTGTAAAATGGTTAGATCTCCACTGGGAATTCCATGTCGTAATCGAATGTCCGTTTCTAGGTATCGTTCTGGACTCTGGTGATGGTGTCACCCACACCGTCCCGATCTACGAAGGATACGCCCTTCCCCACGCCATTCTCCGTGTTGACCTGGCTGGCCGTGATCTCACCGACTACTTGATGAAGGTACTGTCTTACTGTAGTCTTACTGTAGCTCTCTCTCTCTCTCTCTCTCTCTCTCTACCTGTCACCATCCCTTTAAAAGAATTCTTTCTAGATCCTCACTGAGCGTGGTTATTCCTTCACCACCACCGCCGAGCGTGAAATCGTCCGCGACATCAAGGAGAAGCTCTGCTACGTCGCCCTCGACTTTGAGCAGGAAATGGTACGCTAGTTTTTGGGCGATTTGTCATTTTTGGTTTCGGGATACTGTAACTCACAACCACTCTAGCCATTTGCTACGTTAGATTCCAAATTACACCCGGGGTACCGGATCCCTAGGTGAGTACCGTACTTTCCGCTACGCTCTACACCTCTTTACACACCTTTAAAGGGCCATTGAAGCCAGTAATGGCTATGAAATGTGGCTAATTCTCGATTTTCAGGCGACCGCCGCCTCCTCCTCTTCCCTCGAGAAGTCGTACGAACTCCCTGACGGTCAGGTGATCACCGTCGGAAACGAGCGTTTCCGTTGCCCCGAGGCCATGTTCCAGGTGTGTTTTTAGGTGCCATAATTAATTGGGGTTATCCGATTACGCCGTCTAAATTACTATTTAGCTCCATTTTCATGGCGTAATCGATTAACCCGGTCTATCCGATTACGCAACGTATATCTCTCCCCTAACTACCCCATTTTCAGCCCTCTTTCCTGGGTATGGAATCGGCTGGAGTGCACGAGTCGGTGTACAACTCGATCATGAAGTGCGATATCGACATCAGGAAGGATCTGTATGCGAACAATGTCCTTTCGGGAGGAACCACCATGTACCCCGGAATCGCTGACCGAATGCAGAAGGAGATCACCGCCCTCGCACCCAGGTGAGAGGGGAGGGTTAGCAGAGGAATTTGAGGAAGGGGAACTAGCAGGGATCATTAGGGAATTGCCCGCTAGCTACTGTAGCTTCTAAAGGGACAGCGACAACTAGCAGAGGCTAGTGGGAAAGGGTAGGCTAGCAGCGATCCCTAGGGAGGGTAGCTAGCAGAGACCCTTTAGGAATAGTATAAGCTATTAGGATCGTTTTAAAGGCACGGCGACACCCTCTAAATTCTCCCTTTTTCAGCACGATGAAGATCAAGATCATTGCCCCTCCGGAGCGCAAATACTCTGTGTGGATCGGAGGATCCATCCTCGCCTCCCTCTCCACCTTCCAGCAGATGTGGATCTCCAAGGTCAGGCTCATTTTCTCATTTTCTCGTTCTCATTTCTTGATTTACATAGCGTAATCAATTTCGAAAAGGGATTTCATAGCGTGATTGGTCAGAAATTGCCGATTTTTACCACTAAGGTTCGAAAAACCAGAAGCAAAAAGTTTGTCGCGGGGAGGAGTCGAACCCGCGACCTTTTCTCGCTGATTTTGATGTCGTAATGGGATTTACAAACTGGTTTTAACGGCGTAATCGGTCAGAATTCGCCGATTTTCACTTCCAGGGCGCGAAAAAGCAAAAAGCAAAAAGTTAACCGCGGGCGGGGGTCGAACCCGCGGGCTTTTTCATAGCGTAATTGTTTAAAAAAAGCTGTTTTTCACGTCTAGACTACGAAAATCCAACAACAAAACTTTTGTCGCGGGCGGGATTCGAACCCTTGCCCTTTTCTCAATGCTTTTCACGTCGTAATCGATCCATTTCCAGGCCGAGTACGACGAGTCGGGCCCGTCCATCGTCCACCGCAAGTGCTTCTAAGCGTCTCTGCTCGCCTGCCCTGCCGACCACCGTACTCTACCGTACCCCCCTCAGGCCCTCTATTTGTTGTATATTTTGTGACGAATTGTCTACGCTGGCTTTCTTTCTTTCTTTCTTTCTCTGTACTCTCCTCGCCTCGATTTCCTGATCCCTCTTTCGCTGGCGCTGTGATACGGTGAAGATAAAGATGGGAGATTATAATGCAGAGAATTACGCAAAAAATTGAAAGAAAAAGCAAAACGAAAAAGTGCGCAAAAAGATACAGAAAAAGCAAAAAAAAACACACCAGAATCGCAGCAAATTTTGGGGGTTCTTTGAATGCTCTTTGATTACCCCCGACTCGCCACCCGTCTGGCCCACTGTCAGGACATAAGGTTCAATCGGCAAAGCTCAAAATCGGGTCTCGTTCGGAATCTGGTGTAGGGGGTGAAGCTCTGAGGGTTTTACAAACCTTCGATGCCCACTTCTCCTTTTATCGGTTTTGAAGAAACATTTGTCTCCAAACTTTGATATTTTAAGAACGCTAATTTCGGAAGAGAAATGCTACTAATAAATAGTATTCTTCCAAAATTAGCGTCCTTAAAATACCACGAGTTTTTTGTTTTTTGGTTGGTTTTTCAAGGTATTTCAGGAGTATCGTTCTATTAATGCTCCTAGATAAAGACACTATCATAAGAGTATTAGTACCTTCGCTAAAGAAACCTTTTGGTACTCTGAGTGTTCTTTGGATGTTCTCTGATGGCCACCGCCCACTCGCCACCCATCTGGCCCACTGTCAGGATATAAGGGTGGACAAGAAATTGGTAATTTGGGCGGTTGATGTTTGTGTGTTCTCTGAATGTTCTCGGTTCACCACCGACTCGCCCCGCCACTGGACCACTGTCAGGACATAAGCCTCAGCCGAGACTGGCTGAAATTGGGCGCGGCCCAGAATCTCCGGTGTAAGGGGTGAACCTCTGAAGGTTTTACAAGCTTTCGGAGCCGACTTCTCTTAATTTATCATTTATTCAGAATCACAAGGTTCTTGATAATTGAAATTTTAAGGAAACTAATTTTATAAAGATTGCTATTTATTAGTGCGATCTCAGTCTTCTATAAGAGATTCTATTAATGCTTCTCTATAAAGACCCTTGGTAAACGACAGTACCTTCGATAAAGGAATCTATCCAAAATAATGGAATACTACGTCCACCGTCCTCCCCGACCTTCCACCCTAGGTTTTTTCCGGGGTATAGTTTCAGTGTGGTCCAGACCGGTGGCGAGTCGGAAGTGATCAGCGAGCCATCAAAGAACACTCGCCACAAAAAGGTACAATAGTGCTTTTATAGATCGAAAAAGAATATTTTCTGATGATCCTCCCCATTTTAGGGGCTTTACCAAAATTAGGGGGGGCCGGAGAGACCGAGAGGGGAGAGGAGAATGCAGATAAGCATCTGCCTGGGAAAGCCAAGCAGACCTTCAACCAGGAAAGGCCGAAGCCAACCCAGCATAGCTTCGCCTAGCTTACGCAAGGCCAAGCGGGTAGACAGACCGAAGTCGACTTTGCCGGATGTAAAGGAGCTCCAGAGATGAAGCTCCAAGCTCTTTGTTCGCACTCCGTGATCCCGAACCAATCGCATCAACGATAGATTCGCCAGAGTGTGCCCTGGGGGGAGTAGGGGCGGCACGGGAGGAGCCACCCGGTGAAGGAAAAAATGGCTGACCCTTATGCCCAGACAGTGGGCCAGATGGGGGCGAGTGGGGCGGCGAGCAGGGAACATCCAAAGAACAGTCAGTTACCGAAGTTTGGGGCTAGGGTAGTGGCGTTAACATGGGCTTGGCATTGGGGCAGGCTTAACGTAGGCTTATAGCTTAAATTTCGCGTAGCTTGAGTCAGCAAGCTTCCGCGTAGGCTTCGCCTTAGCTTCTGAAGTATAGCTCCTCAGCTATTTGTGTGCTTATCCCTCTCCGGCCTTTCGGCGCTGGAGAAGAACCTACCGGTATATTGGGGTGCGTCGTCCCCAATTATATCCGAGCAGTCCAAAATTGGACCCCATACTTCACCGTAGCCTGGGGTCACGACAAAATCCGGCAATGGTTCGATGACCCCGGAAGTTGTTATTTGTAGCTGATCTAGTAGAACACTAATCAGTACTCAATACACACTCTCCCCCTAGGGGGAAGTGGCAATGGGAGAGGAACGGACGTCTCCGACCCCACAAATTGGCCAGCATTCCCTCCGACCTTATGCCCTGACTGTGGGCCAGACGGGGGGCGAGTGGGGGGAGGGCGGAGAGCATCCAAAGAACACTCACCTGACGAAATTGGCCGTATTTCAGCTGTTTTCGTCATGTTTGATTCTCAACTTTCAAGATACTACTGCATTATATATTACTATTAATTTAATTATAACTTTTCCCGTAATCTAATTAATTTTAACACCTCAAAAAGACCGTTTAGATGCGATTTTCCGTGTTTAGTAGTGTGTAGTTTTGCGCTTTTGTAGATCTATCGCACGCAAGAACTCCGTATGTTTTTCGATTTATTTATTCACAAAAATTCATTTATGTTTTTACAAGGTTCAATTAATAATCAGGTAAAAATAATAAGTTAATAAAACGAGAGAAAATGAGCGAGAGAGCCGGCTAAATAGAGAGAGAAAATGAGCGAGAGGGAAAAAGATACAGAGAAAAAGAGAAGCGAGAGCGACAGAGTATCAGGGAGAGAGGGACAGCGAGAAAGAGAGAGCACGAGGGAGAGAGACAGCAAAAAAAAACACAAAGATCGGGTTTAGTTTATCATTTTCGACTTCTTGCTGACGTCGCCGCAAGCCTCGAGCCGTGACGACATCTGAAAAACAATTTGAAACTCGTCGACTAAGAAAAAAATAGCGTAATTATTTCGACTTAAGCCAGCGAAGCCCAAAGCTAACGAAGCTAACAAAGCCACCCTAAAGCTAACTGGTCCATAGAAAAAAATGAAACTTAAAAGCGAGGTGGGAACTCTAAACTATAGAACGATGCGCGCTAAGCCAATAAAGTCAGCTAAGCGAAGTAAATAAGCCAAGCTACCTCTTGTCGTCCTCCTTGACATCGATGTTCTTCAGTAGCTCGAGCTTCTGCTCCTCCTCGGCTTCCGGCTGTGCTTTGCACTGCCTAAGTCAGAGGATATTTGGTAGCTATTAAAACCTTACCTTTCGGGCTGAGGGGAAGAAGCCGCTCGAGATAATGAAGAACTGCTTGAAGTCGGCGTCGCGTTGTCGATCCTGAAATAAAAAAATAGAATACGCCTTTAAATAAGGTAACAAATAGGCAAAAAACAAACCTTGAAACTCGTGCAGCACCGCATCGCGCTTCCGGTCGTCGTAAAAGGACCTAAAACCTGAAAAAAAACAGTTAAATACCTGGGTGATAACTGGACGCGCAGATGTGGCAGGAGTGGCGGCGGTGGGCTCATCACCAAGCCGTTCGGCGTTCCTAAAAAGTAAAGTTTCATAAAAAAAGCAACTTCATACCTCTTGCTGCTCGAAATCTGGCGGGAAACCGCCCGAGTTGATGAGCAACTGCTTGAAGTCGGCGTCGCGTTGAAGATCCTGAAATAAAGAAAATAGATTACGCAATTAATAAAGTAAAAGCTAGACGAGAAAACAAACCTGAAAACATGTTCGTCATCGTTTCGCGCTTCCGCCTTTGTATCATAGAAAGCCCTAAACCCTGAAAAACTAGTTAAATACCTGGGTCTGTAGATGTGGAAGGAGGCGAAGACGGGCTCATCGCCAAGCCGTTTGACGTTTCCTAAAAAGTAGAATTTCATGAAAAAGAAATGAAAAGGACCTCGTGCTGCTCCAAATCTCGGTAGAAGCGGTCTGATGATGGAGAACTGCTTAGAAGGCGCGTCCCGTTGTCGATCCTGAAATAAAAAAATAGATTACGCAGTTGAATAAAGTTAAGACTAGGCAAAAACAAACCTGAAAACTTGTGCAGCACTGGTCATCAACGCAATTATCTAAAAAACCCTGAAAAACTTGTTATATACCTGCGTGAGAAGATGTCGAAGAAGGGCGCAAAGGCGGGGTCTTCCCCAGGGCGTTGCGTTTCCTAAAAGGTAGAATTTCATGAAAAAATAAATGAAAACCGGAGAGTTCGAACTATTACTGATAAACTGCATACCTATTGCTCCACGAAACCTGCAGCCCGAGCTGATGAAAAACGGCTTGAAGTCGACGCCGCGTTGTCGATCCTGAAATAAAAAAATAGATTACGCATTTAATAAAGTAAAAGCTAGACAAAAACAAACCTGAAAACTTGTGCAGCACCGCGTCGCGCTTCCGGCCCTCGTCGCAAGTTTCTAAAAACCTGAAAACTGTTAAATACCTGGTCGAGAAGATGTGGAAGAACGGCGCGAAGGCGGGCTCGTCACCGGGGCGTTCGGGAGTTCCTAAACTGTAGAATTTCATGAAAAAACCAATGAAAAGGGGAGAGTTAGCAGCTCTAGGATAAAATTTATACCTTTTGCTCCTCGAAATCAGAGGGAAGCTGCTCGAGCTGATGCAGAACTGGTTGCAGCCGACGAATCGATCCTGAAACGAACAGATATGATACGCCACCGGATACCGCAAAAATTAGACTAAAACAAACCTGAAAATTTGCTGAGCACCGTGTCGCGCATCAGGTTGTTGTAGAAAGCCCTAAACCCTGAAAAAAATAGTTAAATACCTGCGCGAGTAGAAGTGGAAGGACGCGAAGGCGGGCTGATCATCAACTCGTTGGGCGTTTCCTACAATGCAAATTTTCATAGAGATACAACAAGATTTTTCTAGGATTCTAGAAATCCGAAACGCGCTGAAGCACTAAATCAAGATTGGCAGAAGTGCCGAAAACCTAAAAATGTTCTAAAGCTCTAAAAAAGGCGGGAAAGGCTCAAAATCGAACCAATCATCATCCAACCATGAAATTACAGCCAAAGACGATTTGCAACAGGTTTTTTTTGCGTTTTAAAACTGTAAAAAGGCAACGAACCTTGGTAACAAAATCGGGGGACGTAGCGGACGGCGCTCGGGGCCGACGTGTAGTCCCAGATGCGGAAGATGAGCGCGTCATCTCCATGTCGTCTGTTGAAATCTGAAAAAGATGATAAATTAAATCCGAGAAGGTCTGGAAGACTTCTGAAGAATGAAAATTAAAGAGAGAAGCCTATGAACGTACACGTATCGCGCATATCGTATCGCACGTATCGCACATATTGTCCGCCTTGTAATTGTCGATCTTCGCGTTGGCAAGCAGAATATCGGCTTCATGCTTGTCGTAGCACTCATAATCGCTGCAGAAGGTGCCCAAGGAGACGAAGACGTCCTTCCGATGTTGCTTCGACTCGCGCACCATCTTCTGAAGGTCGTCATGCGAGTTGGCGAGTTGCAGAAGAGACGTTGAGCCCAGAAATCTGGCGATGTTATTGAAGACCTTGGGCGGCAGCTTGAGCAGCCAGGGGTCCGCGGCATCCGGCAGCTTTTCCTTGCTTGTCGAACGTTGAAGACGACATCATACCTAAAAAAAAACAACTAAAACTTAGTCTTGCAAGAAGAAAAGGAATTAGATCGAAAACGGAAAACCTAAAGAAAAAGAAGAGCCTAAATAAGCAAAAACAACCTCTAATCGACTAAAGAAAACTATTGAAAAGGTTAGCGACAAACAAATAAACCTCATTTCCATTTAAAACGGTTTTAAAACCTCCATTTTACAAAGATTTGGACGAAACCGTACTGCTTTTTCGAAAAGAAAAGTTCTATTTTCAACGGGCAGCGCTTCCAACGTGTAACAAAGTTTTCAGTTTAGTCAGAAGTTTTCGCAAGTCTCTTACCTTATAGCAAAGAACTCTTCAGTTCTTCCTGGCTTTCTTCTCCTTTCCCTCGTTGACGCCGACAATCCGCGAGAACCGGGCCGCGTTGCAGCTTCTTCTTCCGATGGTATTACCTGAAAATAGACAGTTTAAAAGGTGGAAAATGATAGGAACACCGAAAAGAAAGGAAAAATAAGAAATAGAACGCCATTTACACAAAGAATTGATCGGAACAAAAGGAAAAATGCAGAAAACCGCGCAAAATCGCTGGAAATGCTTCAAAAGCGCAGAAAGTGCTACGCGGACGATTTATAAACTAAATATTATCAATATACGCTCTATATACTGATGTATTACACACAGAATTGATGGAGAACAAAAAGAATAGCTAGAAAATCGTGCAAAATCGGTGGAAATAGTTCAAAAGCCCAGAAATGGCCATGGAGGTGTTCTATAAGCTATATTTTATCAATAAACGTTAATATACGACTAAAACAATCAATAAACAATCAATAAATCATATAAAATCGATCGATTAGGCCTTGGAAAAGCAAAATTCGCAAAAAATCCGCGAGCCTACGAACTTTCCAAATTCCGCCATTTCGTTAGCCAGTATGCGTACGTACAAGGCTGCGTTTTTGGTTTTTTTATGTTTTTGAGGGTTAAAGGGCTGCGGACGGCATGTGTCGATCCCCCCCTCATCAACAAATTGGCAAGTAGCCAACAGGGGAGAGAGCGCGCCCAGGGGAGAGACGCAGAGACATTTTCTTTTCCGCGCGTAATCGATTGACTATGCCGTCGGCATCCCTTTAAAAACAATAATTTTTATTGTTTATTTCTTCTGAGGCTTAACTGGCTTGCAGGGCATAACAACACATAAAAATTTATTAAACTTTATCTAAAACTGGCGCAAAATCACGCTAAACAAATTTCCTTCAGCAATTCGGATTCCCGGGACTGCGTGCCGAGGTTTTGGACGAGCGTGAAGTGATCGGAGCCGGGAATTACCTGAAAATGACTTTTAAAGGCGCGTTGAAGGCAAAAATCGCCGTTCTAAGGGCCGAGGGTCCGACCCCCCGGCCGAGGCCAAACTTTTTGCTTTTTGCTTTTAAAATGGATTTGTCGTTTTAAGCCTATAAACGCACCTCCAAATGCACATCAAAACCTCTTTCCTTCAGTTTCTCTGCCATCTGCCCTTGAGCCGATTTTATCGCCTGAGTATCGTGTTCCGCCTCCAGGAGCACGATTTTGAGGTCGGATGATACGCCCAGCTCCTCTGGACGGCATGTACAGTACCAGGCTTCTTCGACGGTCAACCTGAAAGCGAGGGTTTAGGCTTCTGCTTAGGCTTAGGCTTAGGCTTAGGATAGACTAGGCAAAGGTTTAGGCTTACCCCATCGTCTTTCCGATGTACACCTCTTCCAGACCTTCGACTTGGTAGACGCCACAAAGCAGAAAGAGGGCAGAGATTCGAGAGGTATCAGCGAGCTTTGAATAAGCTGAAAATCGTGATGCTTTTAAGGGGACTGGGACACCTTTAAAAGCTAGATGAGCACCAGCTGAGTGGCCGCCGATGATCAGCTCTGTTGAGGGGAATTTGTCGAGCAGGACCTGAAAAAATTCCTCTAAAAATCTCGGCTAGCTGGCACCTTGAAGCGACTTAGACTTAGGAGTTTCTCCGCTGGACTGGCTTTGGCACTGGTTTAGGCTTAAGCTTAGCTTAGGATTAGGTTTAGACTTAGGCTTAGGTTAAGGCTTAGGCTTAGGCTTCGGTTTCGGCTGACATTTAGGCTTAGGCTTAGGCTTGAGCTTCGCCGTAGGCTTAGATTTAGACTTGGCTTAGGTTAGGCTTAGCTTAGGCTTAGGCTTTGTTTAGACTTAGCCTTAGGCTTACCTGCACAGCTTTCCCGGCGTCTTCGCAGAGTTCAGGTAGCGTATGGCGTCCCGAAGCGAATTCGTAGCCGACACAAGCCACAGCCACGTCTTCTGGCACTAATTGGCCCACCGCCGAGGTACCGTACTTCCGGTCACCTTCCTAAAGGAGCTAGGAAGCTTAGAAAATGGTAAAAAAAAACCGAAAGAAAAAGTTGGTCGCGCTTGGGATCGAACCCTCGACCCAAAAAGTAAAAATCTTTAAAAAAACCTACAATCCAATATCCGCCATGGAAGAAGACGAACATCCTCTTCCCGACTTGTCCCCAAACGTCAATCTGACGAAAAGAGGCCCTTTGGATCATTTTAAGGGGACTAGCAACCTTCTGTTTGTCCATAGGCCCATACGGTATCTCGTGGTGGACGTGGTTTTTCTTGTTTTCGTTCAGCTGCATCTCCATTACCTCGAGCCATTCGGAGATTACCTAGATTTATCGCGTTCGAGGGTTACCTAGCAGGGGATCCTTCAGGATTTAGCGATTTTCTAGCGTAATCGATTACGCGATTAAAATTGGCAAGTTAGGGCAGGTTAGCAGGGATTTTTCAGGAATTTCGGATGGAAACTATCTTGCAAATCCCTTTAAAAACCAGGAATTTTCTAGCGTAACCTGGTAAGCCAGCGCGGACCTTTTGATGAATTCGTAGATGAGCTAGGGCAGCCTAGCAGAGGTTTTTGAGGAAGTGCGGAGAAAACTACAGGGTGGCCAAAAAAAAAAGTGCCTGGTTTGGGTCAAAATATCTCGCTAACGGAAGCGAATCGGACCATGGTTACCATGCCAGAATGCTTAAATATGCTGGGTATGAAGATTTAACACAACTTGATTTTTTCGATTTTCGGCGACGTATCAATACAAATGACACCCGGAAAATGTGCGTTCAGCAGAAATTCATTTGCTTTTTTCTCACTTTCCTGTGGTGGCTGGGTTCTAATTTTTCCTATTTAAGTTAGTGTCGGTAGTAGATATGCACCTATAAAATTTAAGAATTTTTGAGGGTCTGGTTGACAAGTTATAGAGGAATGAAATTTTGTATGGGGAAATTTCGTAAATTTCGAAAATTACAAAAACCTATGGCCAAAACATCGGAATAAGTTGTTGTAGAATAACTACGGACCCTATACAACCGCATAAACACATTAAAAAAAATTTCGAGATCGATGAATTTTCGAGTTTTTCAACGACCCCCGGGTCATGGATTTTTCCGGGTCTCGAAACCGGACTTTGGAAAAATATTTGTAAATTGCCAAAGGGGACTCAGCTGTTTTCTTTGCTTAGCTATGTAGGAGTGGGGTTTATCAATCATCTCCAAAATTTCGAGCCACCGTACCCCTTTGGAAGGGCGTATTTTAGGGCCTCCAAAACGGTTGGTACGTGCTTTTTTTCCAAAACCCGCTAACAATTTATAAATTTTAACAGCGCTATGAAAATTGTAATTTTAATTTTATCTGATATTATTTGAATAGCGCATCCTAAAGCCACGTTCTTGAATTTATTTGACCAGCCGTTGGCGAAAAGAAAATTCATCAAACCCCGAAATAAACCGAATTCGAGAGGGCGTAAAAAATTTTTGGGAGGTGAAGTCGCCAGGAACTTTTCACCAATAAATCTGTGGTATTAGTTAAATAAAACTATGCAAAGATTAAAAAAATTTAACGTCGAAAAAATTTTACGAAGAATTTTAAACTTCGGTTTTTGAACAGGGTGATTTTCCATTTATGGCTGAAAGTCACCATAATTTTGTATCAGATTGCTCCGGAATTTGACAAGCGTAAATAAAAACATCAAATCTTTAATCGTATCCATAAGATCCAGGTGGCTTTTTATTTTTAAAAATTCGAAAATTGACTCGGCTACTCGGACCCAAAATCGGCTCTCTGACCTTGTTTTGCACTATGCCTCGTAACTTTGTTATTTACCACCCAAAATCAGTAATTTTTGACAGGCGATCTTACAATCACCTCTAGAAGGTCCTCGAATTGAAAAATCGTCAATTTATGGAATTTTGCGATGGCATGCTAAAACGCGCTCCACGGGGGTTACTGTAGAAAACCGAAATTCGCGATTTTCGTGGTGTTTTTGCCATGGAATCGCTTCGGTCTTTCGGTAAAAGCAATATTAACAGTTTTGGTACAACTGACCAAGAATTTACAAGATTCTGTGGCAGAATTAAAAAATCAGTTTTTAGTCTTTTCATGAAAGTTTGTGGATAGTACGCTCTCGTATTTGGCAGTGAGGTGCCCCTACTTATTGCCTAACAACCCAGAGGTTTCAGCCGGATCGAAGCTAGGGGCCTCGAGAAAAGCGAGAAAAACGAAACCTACAGTACCCCCGCTAGGGCACGTTTTAGCAAGCAATACAAAAATACCATAGATTATGTTGGGTTCTGGTGTGGAATCCGAGATTAATATTTGGATAGGTCATTGACAAAATATCAGCCATGGGCAGTGAGTTAGAAGCGAGTTATGACTCAAAGAACAAAAATAACGAAAACTCGCGAAAATTGTTTCGTTTTTAGAAAATGGAATAGGCCTCGAAAAATTCTAAGATTTTGCCATTACGTTTCTACAAATTTATACTATTTTTAGGCAAAAAATCAGAATTTTCCCACCACCGGTTCAAGAACGCACAATTTTCGGTCGTAACCCGGCGTCAATAGTACAGTTTCGTACCCAAAAATCGAAAAAATCAAGTTGTGTTAAATCTTCATACCCAGCACATTTAAGCATTCTGGCATGGTAACCATGGTCCGATTCGCTTCCGTTAGTGAGATATTTTGACCCAAACCAGGCACTTTTTTTTGGCCACCCTGTAAACTTGTCAGGCTCTTTAAAGAGTCCCTAAATTGCCTAACGTAAACGATTACGCCACCAAATTACATACCTTGGCCGGTTCTTTGTCACTTCCGGTATGATGGCTGCATGAGTGGGAACAATCTAATTCCGTCATTCCTTCCTCGTGACGACACATCGTGGCCGGCTAGCAGGGATTCTTGAGGAAATTGAGGAGAGAGAGAGAGAGAGGGAGAGAGAGATAGAGAGCGGGGGGGAGAGACAGGGAGAAACAGAGAAAGAGAGGATAGGCAGGCTAGCGGAGATCCTTGCGGAAAACAAGAAAATAGAGATAAACAAACCAAAACAGGCTCGGGATAGGTTGATTGGCGTGTAGATAACATTGGGGGGATCAAAATCAGCCGTCCTCGCGCAGGGGGAAATCGATATCTGATCGCGGCTATTTTGTTAGCCAGCAAATTGAGACGAGGCCGGCTAGCAGAGTTCATTTAGGAACGAAAACGTCATCTGCTTCCGGATCTTTGGGTTCCTCTCTGATCGATTACGACGCTTAAATACTCTGTAATTTTTCTTTGTGTCTCTTTAATCTACCGTAATCAATTATGCCAAGTAATTCGACTCGTCTCGTCCTCATATTAAAGCTTTATTTACCCTTTTCTTTACAAGTTTTTTTACAGAATGCAACCGAAATTTTGGGGCGGAGAGGGATATTCAAATTAGAAAGGCACATCACAACGCAAAGTACTGTAGAATTTTGTGGGCTACAAACTACAACCGAGACGAATGGGGGAGCGCAAATTTTTAAAGGTCTAGTTAACCCGGAGTTGTAATAATTATTTAAGTCGTGAGGGCCTATAAGTGAATGGGAGGAGAGAGAGGGGTAGGGAGAGAGAGCCAGAGAGAGAGAGAGAGAGAGAGAGAGAGAGAGAGAGAGAGAGGAAATAGAGATAAATCGAGAAATTAAGAATAAAAAGTGAGCACGGACTGTTGATTGCCTCTCAATAGAAGAGTCGGAGGAAGTCCCTCGAGTCATCATCTCCAGCCAGGAGAGGTAGAGAGACGGAGAGACCATTCCTTTACGAGGGACCGGAAGCGTTCTAAAAATTGAGGTTTGAGAGGCAGGCTAGCAGAGATCTTTGAGGAAATGAATCCACGAAAAACGGATCAAGCAAGTATCATTTAGGAATTCTCGGGGCCCGAGCAGGCTAGCAGCGACCATTCAGGAGCGCAGGGCAGGCTAGCAGAGATTCTTGACGATAGAAAACTCACATCACAATCAAATCAGCTCCCATCGAGTTCTCCTGTAGCAGCTCCCCAATCCTGAGCTGCCTGAATGTCTTGTCCCTCTGGGCTTGCAGCTCTGAGGGTGAGGTCCATCCGTCTCCTTCCCTCTCTTCTCCCTCGGCTACCGTATACGGCGCGATTAGGTTTTCCCAGGTTTTACGCCTGAAAATATTGGTTGGTGTCACGCTCCCTCTAAAAAGGCATATCGTATCGATTTTTGATGTTACTAGCCCTTTAAATTTCAGTTTCTAGCTGTCACCATCCCTTTTAAAAACTCACGTTTCCGGTTTCGGCTTCTTCCCAATGTCCGACATCACCGACACGTTGCTGAAGTCGATTCTGAAAAATTTACCAATTTTTTTGTAGCCCATCTCTCTCTCTCTCTCTCTCTCTCTCTCTCTCTCTCTCTCTCTCTCTCTCTCTCCCCTCTCCCTCTCTCCTACCTGAACTTCGTCAACAAAGCGACGAGTCCTCGCTGCTCAGCCTCCATCGTATGTCTCGACGTCGAAATGGAGAAGACACGGAGTTTAGCGCCCTGAATAAGGATGCGTAATCGATTACGATGTGTAATTTGGTGTCACCCTCCCTTTAAAACACGAGACCGACCTCCAAATATGATTTTGGAATCGTTAAGAGATGCGGAATCAGCAGTGAAAGCCCTCCATCATCATACAGCCACCAGACGTCAATCGTTCCCCTCGCGAATCTTCTTCGAAAATCGAGACATTGACGTGAGGAGGGCCTTCTGCTCCACGGTGGTTCGACGAGACCTGAAAAAGCACTATTTTTGAGGCTACAAACTACAAAAATTGTTATAGTAAGCCGGAGTACAAACTACAAAAACTCTAGACTTTGGACTCGAAACCACAAAAACGGGCACATCGAGCCAGACTACAATATACAGAAATCGACAGGACGCGAGCTACAACTTCAAACTACAAACGGGATACAGTGGGTGGACTACAAAGTACAAGAATGACGGCAAGACGCTGACAGCGAGGCTTTAAGCTTAAAAAAAATCGGAGTCCAGAAGCCAGACTACAGACTACGAAGCGGGCTACAGACTACAGGCTACAAAATGCGAAATTTTGCAACATTTAGCGACGAAAAATGCTGCTTACAGACTCTCCTCGGGCGCCAGACTGATTTTCTTCAGCTGCGCCATCGAAATCTTCGGCCGGCTACAGAAATTGGCAAATACAAACTACAGACCACAATTCGTAAAATTCCGATTCCCACGCTTTTGGTCTAGGCTATAAACTATAAAATCTGTGGCTTCTAAAGGGCCAGTGAAGGCATAAACTAGCTGAGCTAGCGGTGGGCTACAAACTACAAGCGTGATTTTGAAGGCGCTGTGAAGGCAAAATCGGCGAAACTACAGACTACAATCCGCAAAAATCCCGTTTTAAAGGGCCATTGAAGGCAAAAAGACTGACCCTCTCCTCCTGATGCTCATATTCGTCTTTTGTTCTTTGAGCGGGATCCGCTCGCATTCCTCTGTAGTTTGAGGTCTGAAAAATGATTTTTATCACTTTAAAGGACTTTTAAGCTCACTTTTCATCCTCCGCGTCGAGGTACTCGCCCTCACTGTCTGCTTCGGAGTCCTAAAAAAACGTTTTTAAAGGGCCGTTGAAGGCAAATCAAGTGGACTTTTGGCTTCAATGGTCCTTTAAAAAGGCCGTTGGAGCTAACCTCATAAAGATCCTGCCTTTAGCGGCCCTTTAAACCCCAAAAAACTTACGTCTAGATCGAAATCGAACGGGAAATTCTCGGCAAACGATCCAGTGGCTGAAAAATAAGATTTAGACAGATAAAATTAACATCTTCAGGCAAAAATTAGGCATCTATAGCGCACAAACGGCAAGGGCATGCTAGCAGCGACAATTTGCGGGGAGCTGTCAGCCTATCACTTCACAAAAATATGTTAAGCGCGTTCCACTGCTCTACCGTACCCTCGGCCACCTTCATCCCCTCCCTCATGAAGGTCTCCATCGACCGGGCGCTCCGCGACGGCGCCATTTGGGGTACTGTAGCTGTATATTTTGGGTCTGTCTCTGCCCCTTTAATCCCGAAAAATTACGAAAATTGACTTACAAAGCGCGTCGTCTTCGTCGGCAGCTTTTTCTTCGTTGTCGGAAAGGCGGCCTTTTCTGAAAAAAGGCTTAGGCTTGGCTTGGCTTAGGCTTAGGCTTAGGCTTAGGCTTAGGCTTAGGCTTAGGCTTAGGCTTAGGCTTAGGCTTAGGCTTGGGCTTAGGCAAGACTCACTCAATATCCGCCAGCTTGTCCTTTTCCTTCAAAATATCGAACGACGCATCCGAACGGCCGGAGTTGACTTGTGGATTACTGTAAAAACGTGATTTTTCCTCATGTCACTCTCCCTTTAAAACCAAAATTATCTGAATTACCGTACCTATCCTTAACTGGCCCAATCGATTCCTTTTTCCTGCCGTCATGGTGCCCATTCAGAATCCTGAGGTTCTCCGAGAAGTCCAGACCGGCATTGTTGCAATTCCGCAACACCCCAACGCCCATACGATAGTCGAAAGCGTCTCTGGAAGCGAAAGATTTCTCACTCTCTCTCTCTCTCTCTCTCTCTCTCTCTCTCTTCGAAATCGCAAATCCTTACTGAATAATGCCAAAATACTCGCTCATCTCGCCGATCATCTTCTCCGTCGGCTCCTTGTCCACCCAGTTGCCCTTGTAGCCCAGGATTACGATGTTTGGCCGCAATTTTCCAAGACCGGCAGTCTGAAAACGGATTCGTCAAAGAATCTCTGCTAGCCTGCCCCTACAATTCTTCAAAGAATCTCTGATAGCTACCTGATACAGCGCTCGAACGCCCTGCCGCATCGATGGATCCGCGATGGACGTGTAGAACGACTTGGTCTTCTTCTTCCGCAGCCAGTCCGTCAACTGCCTGTCCAACTTCCTCAAGACGGACAGCACACGATCCGTCGGGGCGTACTAATCTCGAAACTACAGGGTATATATCGTAACCTACAGGCACGACGTAGCCGCAGACCATCAAGGAATTTCCCTTCGTGATGTTGCCGACAAAATCGACAAGTGAGGGCCGGGACGCCGGGTTTCCGGTCAGGACGAGGATTGGGGTCTGAAAGAGGTTTTGTAGCGTTGGAGAAAGCTAAGCTTAAGCCAAGCCAAGCCTAAGCCTACCTGTAATTTTTGACGTGCTCCTCCGTGTTAGCCAGCTTCACCATCCCGGCCAGCGCGTTACGATAGCTGTGAGCTTGAGTGGATGAGCCCCAATTCACATCTGAAAATCCGAAATTTAGACTTCCCAAGGATCTCTGCTAGCTTGCCATATAGGTGCCTTTAAACCCACGAAAATCGCGTGCTTTTACCTGGTTTCCGGTGCCACAGGTAGATAAAGATCAGCGCGAAGAAGAAAAACGTCAGCAGGGCGGTGATCCTAAAAATCCCATTCGATTACGCCATGAAATGAGTAATGGAGAGCGAGAGAGAGCGAGGGAGAGAGAGAGAGAGAGAGAGAGAGAGAGAGAGCGAGAGAGAGACGGGCCTTACCAGCTGACGATGAACATGACGACGACGCACAGGATGGAGCCGGCGAGGGAGACCCACTTGTTGTAGTATTTGAAGCCGGGGCGGAAGCCTGGAAATGGGAGGGGTTGCCCAATGGTCTCTGCTAGCTGCCCCTCCTCAAGAATCTCTGCTAGCCTGCCCACCTGGTGAGTCGGCGAACGATTGATCGAAGCAGGCGTAGTTCAAAATGGCGTACGAGGCCAGGAAGAAGTTGGAGATGATCGGGGCGATGGCGTTGAGGTCGCCTGAAAATTTAGAGGTTGTAGTTTGTAGTTTCTGGATTTTTGTAGATTGCCGTGCAAGCGATAAGCTACAAGGTACAACCGTCGCAGCGCTAAAGCAAGGGTTTAAAGGGCCATTCAAGGCTCGGAAATTGACTTACCGACAAGGATGACGAGTAAAGCGAGTACGGCTACGAGAGCATAAGCTCTTCGTGGCTCTTCATCACGCCCGAAGCCCTTGCCAAAGTAGTCGATGCCCGGGAAGAGGCGATCCTTGCAGACGGCCTGAAAAAGTGGAGTTTGTAGTTTGGCGTGTTAGCCTTAGACTTAGGCTGGCTTAGGCTTTAGCTTAGGCTTAGGCTTGGCTTAGGCTGAGGCTTAGGCTTAAGCTTGCTTGGGCTTAGACTTATGCTTAGGCTTAGGCTTAGGCTTAGGCTTAGGCTTAGGCTTAGGCTTAGGCTTAGGCTTAGGCTTAGGCTTAGGCTTAGGCTTAGGCTTAGGCTCCGGCTTAGGCTTGGGCTTAGGCTTAGGCTTAAGCTGCTTGGCTTGGCTCACCTGGAAAATCTTCGGAGCCGCTACTAAACTTCCGAGAGCACTGGACAGCGTGGCAGCAAAGATTCCGGCTGTGATGAGAGGCCCGAAAAGGGCTTGCATCTCAATCACCTCAAAAAATCGTTTTAAAGGACCAGCGAAGGCAAAAATCTACCTGATAAAAATTGAGGAGCCCATATTTACAGCCTCCCTCTTCGATCGTGCAGTTTGGGGGGACGAAAAAGCCGACGGCGTCCCACATCGGCTCCAGAATACCGTCAGCATGGCGCACGTTCGTGGACCCGGTGAAGATGACGATGAAGATGTAGACGATCGTGGTGGCGAGGATGGCCAGGAGGGTGCCGAGAGGGATGGCTTTCTAGAATCGAGCGTTTCTCTCTCTCTCTCTCTCTCTCTCTCTCTCTCTCTCTCTCTCTCTCTCGCTCTCTATCCCCACCTGCGGATTCGCCAAATCTCCAGAAATGTTCGCCCCAGCCATAATTCCAGTAGCGGCCGGGAAGTAGATGGCAAACACGGTGAAGAAGTTCTCCTTCTCGCCAAATTGAGGAGTCAGATTTGCCAGGAAGGTTCGCACTGAAATATTTGACTTCAATGGTCCTTTAATGGGGCAAGCTAGCAGAAAGTCATTGAGAAATTGGAGTGGCAGCTAGCAGAGGCAATTTTCCAATAAACCTACTGCTCAAAGCAGTTGCTCCTCGCACTTTCGTGTGCATCGTCGGCTCCAGGATCAGAGCACCAGCAAAGTAGTCGACGATGGAGGCGAGGAGGAGCACGAGGAGTCCCATCTGGATCTTCGACTCGAAGGAGGTTCCGATGAAGATTACGGCGACCATGGTGAGCAGGAACATCATGGCGACGATTCGGATAAAGTTGAGCTCGCTGTAAAATCGATTACGATGTGAAAATAGGTCGGTCTCTCTCTATCTCTATCTCTCTCGCTCTCTCTCTCATTCTCATGCTCACCTCAACATATCCAAAAATTCCTGCACCGGTGGGCTCGTCAGCGCGTGCTCAGCCAGCAAATCCCTAATGGTCTCTGCCAGCCCCACCATGTACATGGCAGACCCCACGCCATTAGCTAGGGTGAAGATCAGCCCGATAGCTCCTCCATACTCCGGCCCAAGTGAGCGGGAGATCTAAAAACGAGCTCATCGACCTGTCACCACCTCTTCAAACTCACCAGAAAATAGGCGCCGCCCCTTTCACTTCGCCATTGGTGCAGATGGCACATGTTGAGATTGCTGTGATGACTGTCACGAGGGTGGAGAGGAGCACGATCAGGATTCCGAGGACTGAAAGGATTAGGTATCGTAATTGGTTTAGGCTTAGGCTTAGGCTTAGCTTTAGCTTCGAGAAGTCAAGATTTACGCGTTGACCTACCAATTCCCGCTTGCCCGGTGACCCAGGAAATACGCAGGTACAGGATGACGCCGAAGATGCTCAGCAAGCACCGAACGAACACGCCCTCAATCCAACCAAATTTCTTTCTGAAATAGAGAGCGTATTCGCTTACGTAATGTAATTTGAAACGGGATTAATTTTTTATCTAGAACAGCAAAATAGCATAATTTGAAAGTTTCTAAGGTTTTACCGATTACGCTATAAAAATCCACCTGCCCGCTCCTTGATCTGGTGCCTTCAACTTCTCGATTTTCTCTTTGTCCTCCTCCCTGCCGGGTTCATCAATAGGCGGATGTTGGTCGAGGACGTGAAGCGCTTCTTCTAAAAGCCCACATTGTTTCTGCAAACTTTCGCTCTCTCTCTCTCTCTCTCTCTCTCTCTCTATCTCTGTCTCTCTCTCCCTCTCTCTCCCTCTCTATGTCTCTCGACTGCAACGTACCTTTAAACTGATCAATTTCCAGGCTCTCCTCGTGAACTGGCTGCTCTCCATGACCATGGATTAATTGTGCCATTGAGGGCCTATTGACGTCAACGGCATCGATGGAATCCCGGTAGAAATCGATGATTGGCGGGTGCTCGAGGGTAGCAATGTTTCTGGAAGTGTCTGTCCCTTTAAACCCCAGAAAAAGAGCTGAAAAGCCCCGAGGATATTCGAATACGCAATAAAAATACATGGACTTATAATTGGTGTACAAAGATCATATTTTATTCGATTACGCAACGAAAAGAACCTAAGAGTGCCTTGGGTCTATTTGATTACGCAATAAAAATTATAAAAAAGCGTACGGGCTTATCCGCTTACGCAATTGAAATACCCGGATCTGTAATTTAATCGGCAACCGATAAAAACCAGCTAGGCCTAGCCAGTTACGCCATGAAATTCCCCTACATACCTCCAGCTCTTCTGATTCAGCGTGTGCTGCCCCTCGTGTACCGTATCCGTCGTCTTCCGCTCATCCTCCCCGGCAGCACCTCCTCCCACGTTGAAATGGACATTTCGACGTCCGACCTGAGGTGTGTGGTTTGAAGCTTTGTACTACAGACTACACCCTAGGCTACAAGCTACAGATTACAAAACTCTACCGGCTCTGCCGAATCTAGAGTCTCGTCGTCGTCGTCGTGGTCGTCGTGGTGCTCTTCTTCTGCCGTTTCATCGGTGCCATTTACCTGGAAGGTTAGGCTCAGGTTTGGGCTTGGTTTAGGCTGAGGCTAAGGCATAAGCGTAGGCTTAGGTTAGGCTTAGGCTTGGGTTTAGGCTTAGGCTTGGCTTAAGCTAAGTCTTAGCGTACCGTAAACCTCCCCGTCGACACTGACGTCTTCCGCTCAAGAGTTTCTGAAGGCTGAGGCGGCTCGGAGACGCTTTTCACGCGTCGCGTGTCTTCCTCATCACTTTCGGCGGCTGGGGATACCTTAAAAAGAGCGTTAAATCAATTTTTTTAGATTTTCTAGCCCATAAGTTTAAACGGACTTCCTCGTCAACCTGTTGCACCTCGAAACGGGAGCTTTTTCGGGCACCCAACTCCCGCGGGGAACTCATAGTTTGTAGTCTGGAGTCTAGGGAGTAGAGTGTAGTTTGGAAGGGAGAGAGAGAGAGGAGAGAGAGAGAGAGAGAGAGAGAGAGAGAGAGAGAGAGAGAAGAGGAGCGAGAGAGCTAGCATCTTTTTGCACCCAAATTCGGGAATTTTCATGCCGTAATCGATTTGAAAAGGCTAAGGCTTAAAAGATTTTTAAATGAATAAAATTAGGAATTTTAATGTTTAAATTGATTCAAATACGTAATTCTGGCAGCAAAAGTTCCGAAAAATACTCAGAACGGCAACAAGAGGCCCCCAGGGGCGGCCATGTTGTCGCGCCCTTTCATGGATGAGGCCCCCCTGCAAACGGACAGACGACAAAAACAGGGACAACAGGGCGAGAGAGCGAAAGAGAGAGAGAGAGAGAGAGAGAGAGAGAGAGGGCCCACTAGGGCCCGCACTAGACAATTGATCCGGGTCGTTGCAGCTGGGTGGGTGCATACTAGGAACCCCGAAATGAATGAAGCCTCACTAGCTTGTTGATCTCTCTCTCTCTCTCTCTCTCTCTCTCTCTCTCTCTCTCTCTGTCTCTCTCTTGATCTAGATGTAGATTTTTGTTGTTGTATCTGGTGTACACTCATAAGCCGGGATGAAGATGCTAACGAAAACATTCAGGGGGTCTCATTTTTGTTTTTCGAAGAAAGACTCGTATCTGATTACGTCATTAAATTCAGAAAAAACACTGGAGATGCTGTTTTTCATCTAGAATTTGTTAGAAATGGGTAGATCCGATTTCAGATCTATAGATTAACCCGCGGATAGGCGGAGAGAGAGAGCGAGCGAGAGGGAGAGGGAGAGACAGAGAGGCAGAGAGAGAGAGAGAGAGAGAGAGAGAGAGAGAGACCGAGAGCAGAGGCGGAGCGAAAGACCGAGCAAGGCATAGGGCTAGCTGATAAAGCCAGCTAGCGCAGATCATTTAGGAACAGAATCGGAAGGGATCCGCTATTCTCATGCCCTAATCGAGTACGATAGCTAATTTCGTAATCAAAAGTCGTGTATTTCTGCTGGATTTTTCGCAAAAAAAAATTATAAGAAAAAGAAAAGAGCTACAGAACGCGCTACTAGATCTGTAGAAAATCAGAAAACGCTTAAGATCAAGAAAATTACTCCAATTTTGTGTAAAATTCCGGAAATCAGCGTAATTGGAAAATCTACCAGGACCCGCGCGGGACCCAGGCGAGAAAATTGAGGAAAACTGGCGCCCGGGTTAGGCGAAAAAGGGAAGAAGGGTGGAATGGTGTGGAGAGGAGGGCCAGATGTGGCTAGGGGCAACCGAAGAGAGCAAGAGAAGAGAGGCTTCCTCCTCTCTTTTGAGGAGGAGGGCCAAAAGGAGGAGGAGGGGGAACGGCCTAAATCACCATGTTTACCGCCCCTCCGAAAATCCACGAATATTACGCATATTGGTGCACTATTTTGGCGGGAAATCGTCAGATTTGGCACTAGACTGAAAAATAGGGCACTCGAAATTTGGCGAAAAATATTTTTAAAGGGCCATTGAAGGCAAAAACCGTCCCTGGGGCCTATGGATTTTGACGTCGCCAAAACTTCACTTTCCCTTTAAAATGCGCATTTTGAAGAAACTGTTTTCAAAGGCCAACTGAAGCCAACCAACACCCACCTGAAATCGTGACGAGCTGCTTTTCCTAAGCTCCCCCTCGGGCGGGAGGAGCTGCTCCTTCTCCTCGGGCACATCCAGACGATTCGTGCTCATTTTAAAGGCACTCGGAAGGCATGGAGGGGAGCCTGAAAAATGTGTATTTTTTTGATTTTCAGGTAGGCTAGCAGAGAGCGTTGAGGAAATTTGAAGCAGACAATACGCATGCGTAAGCCTAAGCCTAAATCGAAGCCTAAGCCCATCCTAAGCCTATGCACAAGCCAAGCCCAAGCCTAAGCCTAAGCCTAAGCCTAAGCCTAAGCCTAAGCATAAGCCTAAGCCTAAGCCTAAGCCTAAGCCTAAGCCTAAGCCTAATAAGCCTAAGCCTAAGCCTAAGCCTAAGCCTAATAAGCCTAAGCCTAAGCCTAAGCCTAAGCCTAATCTTAAGTCTAAGCCTGCGCCTTTTTCCGATCATATCCTTCTAGTGTCAATAGTATCCAGGTGTTGTTGGCCACCCCCGAAAAGTATGGACGTCCCGTGCTCCTTCCCATGGCTAATATGGGAGGCGAAATGGGGCGCGCGCAACACGGTCCATTCCGCCACTGTACTATCCACACCTTGGGAATCTACAGGACGATCGCTTTTTATGGGAGAGTTGCCAACAACGAATTTGAATCACGGGGAGAGAGAGAGAGAGAGAGGGGGGGGGAGAGAGCGAGAGAGAGAGAGAGCGAGAGAGAGCGAGAGAGAGAGAGGGAGAGAAAGAGTGTGAGAGAGGGAGAGTGAGACAGAGCGAGAGAGACGAAGAGAGAGGGATCGAGAGCATTACTATTAGTTTTTCATAACGAAAAAAAACTTTCAGGGCGCCGGGACTCTTCAAAAATCCAGAAGATGACTTGGCAAGCCCCCAAACATCTAAATTATGCTAAAATAGCTTTTTTAAAACCTAAAAAACTGTTTTTACTTATTTTAAAGGAACTAGAAAGCCCTGGAAACGTCTGGAAAGCAAAAATTTGAACCGGAATGAACCCAAAAATCAGAATTTTGCAAATTCTATTAATTCCGCGGTGCTCCAGTTGTTTTTCCGGGATCATGAATTAATTCATTTTGCAAAAATTAGGGTAGAAGTTGCGAAACTCGCGAAAAACCATGAAAAGGCGGGAATTCGGAGGGGAAAAGCGGAAATCGGGAGCCGCCGAGTTGTTATCATTCGGAGAAATTTCCAGGAAGGCTTTTATCAATACCGCCATTTTTTTGAGTGGCTTCCGCACAAAAATAGACATCAATTAGGGGTTAATTAAGCTATTTAAAGCTGGAACAAAGACACAAACGTCAAAAAATCGTCAGTTTCGATTTTTGCCAGTCTGGAAATGCCATGATTCATAGAGAAGCCCCCGCTTCCGTTTTGTCTACATCAATATCGAGACGCCCAAGAAAAGAGCGGGCCAAAACAAATGAGGAGTGTCTCGGAAAAACCTTAAAAATGCACAAAAAAAGCGCCGAATTCAGGGCGTTGCTCATCCGGAATGAATGAAGCTTTTCCGGCAAAAAATCTGGCTGTAGGCATTCGATTTAGCCATGAAAATAATTTAAAAATGTTTCTAAAAGACGATAAAACGATAAAAATCCATTTTAAAGGCCCGTTGAAGACAAAAATACTATAGATTTTGAAGCTCTTGACTTCATGGAGCCTTTAAAATGACATAGCTAATCATGTACCTAAAAAGCTATAAAAACGTCATTTTAGGCAGGTTTTTAGCATTTTAAAGGACGGTTGAAGGCAAAAAAGCGATGGATTGCGCTTCAATGGCCCTTTAAAATGGTATAAATCTGGTTTATAGGGCTGATATTTACTGTTGTCATCGATTCAACTGGAAAAGTGTTACGGGTAGAGAAATCCAAGATTTGAGGATTTTAAAGGACCGCTGAAGGCAAAATAGCTATGAATAGCTAAGGATTTTGGCTTCAAGGGGTCTTTAAAATGATATAGCACAATCTAGCGAGGTCAATATATCCATGTTGTGATTGAATAGGGCCCGGGGGGTAACAGTGGGCCTCCCGTTCACCCAGCTGGCCACATTGTTGTGTAAAACGAGAGAGGGTCCAGGCGAGAGAGAGAGAGAGAGAGAGAGAGAAGAGAGAGAGAGAGAGAGAGAGAGAGAGAGAAAGCAGTTCATATATTTGCACATCCCTCATAGCCTCAGAGACATGCCGCGCGCCACACTTCAACAGGCTTTTCGTGCTTTTGCAAGGGGGGCGTTTTGACTGCTATGGACTTTGACGTCGCCAGTTCGACCCCCGGCCGCGGAGGTCAAACAGCAAAACGTGGAATTCTTGCGCTTTTTGACGTAGTACGCTGAAGAAAATCAAAAAGCAAAACTTGGGCGGGGTCGAACTCGAGTTCACAAGAAACGTTGCTGAGGTCACAGACTCAAATCGTGCTCAAAAATGGTGGAAAAATCAAATAAGAAACAAACCAAGCCTATGCCTAAGCCTAAGACCGAGCCAAAGCCTAAGCTAAGCCCAAGCCAAACCCAAGCCAAGCCGAAGCCTAAAAACACCTAACTGCCCCTGGATTTTAGTGTTTTTTTTGTTCTTCGGCGAGGCCATGAGAGAGAAAGCGAGATAGAGAGAGCGAGAGAGAGAAAGCAAGAATCGCTGCCCCGAGCCCTTGATTGCCACCCAACGGGCTTCTTCCTCCCGGCTATTTCTATTTTTTTCGGCGTGCCCGATGGGTTATATTGCCCCAGGGGCGGCTGTGCGTCTCTAATCCTCCAAAAATCCGTCCTCTCTATTCTAAATCTGCATCTAAAAAATCTAAAAATTTAGAAATCGAAAATTTTTAAAATGGAAAATTCCGGAAGAGGAAAAGCCCGAGGAAAATCCATCAAAATAAGCTCCGGGATTAGAGATGGGGAAACGACGTCTTTAAAGGGTTTTAGAAGCCGAAAAAACAAGACAGAGAGGCAATCGGGAAGGGCAGGCTAGCAGAGATTCTTTGAGAAATACAAAAAATGCTAGAGAGCCGTGAAAAGCTGCCGGAAGTAGAGTTTGACCCGGCAGCCTGGAGGCTTTTTGAACATTTTTAGCCACTCTCTCTCTCTCTCTCTCTCTCTCTCTCGCTTTCTTCCCTGCTCTTTCGCCGCCGCAAAAATATTTCTTTGCGGCTGGTCAACAAAAACACCTGCCCCGGGGCAATGGCTCTCAAAAAGCGAAGGATGCTCAATATTTTTTGAGTGGCTGGGAATATCCAATTTCTGGGCCCGAAATTCTATTAGCAGAAATAGAATTGCTTGGCGTAGGCTTAGGCTTCGGTTTAGGCTTGGCTTGGGCTTAAGCTTGGCTTCGGTGTAGACTTAGGCTTAGCTTAGGCTTAAGTTTAGGCTTAGGCTTAGGCTTACGTTTGGGCTTAGGCTCGGCTTAGGCTTGGGCTTAGGCTTAGGGATAGGCTTGGAAACACAAGAAAAGCAAGGTAATGTGAAAATGAATACGATTTTCACTTCAATGCCCCTTTAAAACTCATAGATTTCCCTTAAACAGCCCTTTAAAAACTCTAAGCCCTAAATCTCGAGTAAAATCTGAGAAACAACGACCGGTGAAAATTGGATTTGTGCCCTGGGGGGTTATGCAGGAGGGAGCAGGAGCAGCAGCCCCCGGTGAGGCCCATCCACGCTGAAAAAGGGATGAGGAGAGAGAGAGTGGGAGAATTGAGCAAGAGCAGACATTGAAAGAACAGGAAAAGCGGAAAAGCATGGGATTGACCTCGCGAATCCCCAAGCACGTAATTTGACCCCCCGCGGGAAGCGAGGCCAAGTAAATAAATGCCCCCAGGGCAGGCAGGTTAGCAGAGATTTTTTGGGGAAGTGGGGCATTAATGGGTGGTTTTAACCTTAGACTAAATATCTTATGTTTAAGAACCCTAACAATTCTACCTAAAGGGCTGTTGAAGGCAAATCCATAGCTCCCACGGGGTTTTTTTGGCACTGGAAAACTAGCAGAGATCATTTAGGAAAAAACTTGCTGGAATTATTGTTTAACGGTCTGATAAGTCATAAAAGGTAGGCAAACTAGCCGAGATCGTTTAGGAGGGCCAGGCATTCTAGCGGAGACCATTTAAGATGGAAAACCGCGCGGGTATGCTAGCAGAGGCCATTAGCGAAATAGCCTGAACTTTTAAAGGCACCTGCAAGTCAAAAATCGATGAATCCAATAAGACTTTAAAGGACCATTGAAGGCACGAAACTACCCGTTATCAGTGGACTGAACAGCATGTCTGTTAGTTTGTCTGATCGACTGTCTGTCTGTCGACTATAAAATGACCGTCCGCCCCCTCGTCGTCCATTCCCTCATAGTGAATAGACGCGTAATGTTTGCCCTTCGAGTTTTGGGGCTTTGTCCACCTCCGCCCTCCCTTCGCAACCACATTTGCTTTCACTGGGACCCTAAAGTGGACCCATTCAACGGGGAGGGCCAACTTAGGGCCCAAATGGCCTTTGCTAGCTTACTTGGGGTGGAATCCGTTCTTCATTGGTTTCTGCTAGCTTTCTTCCTCGACTTTTGGCTTCCGGGCACCTTTAAAAGAAGTTTCTGTAGGCCCAAATGATCATTGCTAGCCTGCCTAGGCTCGGATCGCCCCCTAGAAGTTCCTAGGGATCTCTGCTAGCTTGCCCCCCTGTTCTTGACTTCCAGACATCTTTAAAACACACCAGGCAGTCGCTAGTCCCTATAAATGGTCTTTAAAGTTCCTTTCGACACCTCAGTACACCTGGCCGCCTCGATGTTGGTCCCCTGATAGCGTGATTCGGGCAATATCGGCCCCCGCGGAGGGGAGACTGGCCATCAATGGGCCCATAAAATGCCCTCCAGCGACGAACAGGCGTCTGGATGCGAGAGAGAGAGAGGGAGAGAGAGAGAGAGAGAGAGAGAGAGCGACAAAAACCAATGCTCTCTGCAACATCACCCCCGGCTTTTTCCACACTCGATCACTCGATTTATAGCCTGACATGGCCGAAGCGACACGTTGTTCCCTGCGGCTATTTGGAGGTGTTGGACGCCAAAAAACAAAAGGGTAAGCCGAAGCCCAAGCATCAACCTAAGCCTAATCCCAAGCTCAAGCTCAAGCCTAAGCCCAACCCTAAGCCAAGCTTAAGCCTAAGCCTAAGCCCATACCTAACTAAGCCAAGCCTAAGGCTAAGCCCAAGCGAAGTCAATTAAGCTTTGGAGAGCTTAAAAAGTTAATTTATTCGCTTTTAAAGGCCCATTGAAGGCAAAATTCCATAGAATTCGTTACAGAAAATAAGCTCCAACCTCTGGCACCGACATCACAAAACGAAATGCGCGTAAACTCGGCAAAACCGATAATAGGAAAGGCTAGAAAAGGGGAAAATAAGATGCAACACATAGAGATCACCAAGGGAAAGAAAAAGAAGATGTCACGCTCCCTTTAAAGAAACAGGGAAGTCATGAAGCCGTTTTTGGCTTACTGGTCCCTTTAAAACAAACTTGGCGCGTTTTAAAGGACGATTGAAGGCAAAAGTGGGCGTGGCTCGACTTGAAAAGTCTTTGAAAATTAATTTTTCACATTTTAAAGGACCATTGAAGCCAAAAAAGGGCGGATCGATTTTTAGATGACCTTCGGCAGGGAATACATCTTTTTCGTCCAATAAAACAGTAACATTACAGGAATTGTGACTATCGTCAGGAAAAAGGTCATAAAAATGAGGTCCAGCCGCTCGGCGATCCTGACGAAGCCGTTCCCTTCTTGGCGACGTCGGCTGGAGACGTGCTCAACGACGTCGACTTCGTCCATTTGGGCCTGAAAGGGGGTAGGGTAGCAGGGGAATTTTGGGAAATTCTAGACATCAGAGCGAGCTAGCAGAGGTCATTTGGGAATTTCTAGTTTTCAGGGTAGGCTAGCAAAGAGCATTTCGGAATTTTTTGCTTGATAGCAAGCTAGCAAAGACAAATGAGGAATTTCCAGACCTAGGGCAACTAGCAGAGACCATTTGGGACATTCTGAGAATTTTTACCTGTATATGCTCACACGCCTCGATCAATCGCTTTATAAACGTCTCGATCAGCCGGATCTTCTTCTGCGTCACGTCGGTTGTTCCGTTGCGCTCCGGAACGACGACCTGATGAAGTGGGGAAGAAGGGCAGCGGCGGATTCGCTAAATTGAGGTTTTTAGGCTGCTACAGTTCCATTAAACCCTTAACAACTCATTTTCAGGCTCGGCTAGCGGTCACGCTCCCTTTAAAACCGGAAAATCGCTGAAAACTCACCGAATATTTGTTTGGCCTTAACAAGAAGATGTAGACGAGCCACGCCGGCGGTTCTCTACCGTAACGCCCCATTCGGTGCACCTGAAACAATACATTACGCCATGAAATCCCAAGAAAATCGACCAGAGCAAAAATTTGGTGAAGTTAGTGTCGTAATCGATTAGCTTAAGCTCACTACCGTACCCTCATAACGATCCCCGTCGTCATCGCCGCCACTGACACCACGACCATGTTGAACAGGAAGTAGGCAACTAAAAACGTAATTTATTACCCTATTTAAATCACTGGCAGCATGGTCAAGTGGGTAGTGAACTAAGCTATCAAGTTCACCACCCGGGTTCGACCCCCAGCCGCGCCATAATTTTTGCTTTTTGCTTCTTTTTGTTTCCTAAGCTTTTCAACACCCCTGACTCATTTTATCGCCGGAAATCGCAATGCTTAAGGCCGAAATCCCCCTTGGGATGGGCCCTAAGGACTCGTGGCCCACCTCACCCATTCCACCGTAATAATGTGGCCCATTAAAGGGACTGGGAAGGGAAATCAGGTAGGGGAGAGGCATCCCCTACCTCACAAACACATTAAGGGGGCTATAGTAGCTTTAGGAATGAGGGGCAGGCTAGCAGAAATTCTTTGAGGAATTGGAGGGGCAGCTGGCAGAGATTCATTGAGAAATTGGAGGGCAGACTGGGCGGAGATTCTTTGTGGAATTGGAGGCAGGCTAGCAGAGATTCTTTGAGGAATTTGGACGGGCAACTAGCAGAGATTCTTTGCGGAATTAAAGGGGCAGGCTAGCAGAGACATTTGCGGAACCCACCGAGCAGAGGAACATCAGTAGACGAATGTGGTACTTTCTCAGAAACTACGAGCGACAACACGGCCATGGTCAGGATGGCAGTGACTCCGAGGGTGAAGCGCTCCTAAAACCGACCGGATGCTGTCATGCTCGCTTGAAAACACTGACCTCTCGCTCTCCAGTGGTTGAGAATCTTGCGTAGAGTCCGACTACGGAAATGGCGCACATGATGTAGGAGGGGAAGGTGAGGGTCACCTGGAAAGGGATAGGCTTGGACTTAGGCTGATACATAGGCTTAGGCTTGGGCTAGGCGTGGGTTACGCTTAGGCTTAGGAACTACGAATCGTAGCTTATAGCCAACAAACTACAAACTACAAGCCACATTCAGGCTCCAAACTACAAACCATGTAAAACAGCGGCTTCCGCTTCACGTGAATCTCGTATTTGATCTCAGAAACGTTGATCCCCTCGTGGTCAAACTCCTGCTCGACGACGTGCACCTGAAAATTCGCATTAAAGGTCTATTGAAGGCACAGCTCTCTGTTCCGCAAAGAATCTCTGCTAGTCTGCCCACCCTCAACAAATTCCACTCCTCATTCTGCGTATAGTGGTCCGTTGCGTGCTCCTTGTGCCCGTGGAGCTTGATTTTGTCCTTGCCGTACGTCCACGAGGCGATCTGAATAAGGTGGCGTAACTGGATATACTTGTTTTTGGGCTTTTCACCTCCAAAGAACAGTTTTGGTCGTCGAGGGGGAAGTGCTCGATGTGGATCTCGCCTGGAAGGGGGTTTTTGCTTATGCTTAGCCAACTTACAGGATACTGTAGACACGAACGGCTTCGACGTCTCCACGGTCCCGTTGTAGTAGATGAGCCCGGGTGCTCGTACAGCGGTCAGCAGATCCTCGTGGTCCAGCCTGGAAACCCTGAGCCACCGGGTCTGCATTTTCACACTTTAAGGTTAGACTACGAGACGAACCGATTACGCTATGATATTCTCCTGATCTCCTTACTATGCATTACGACATGTAATTCCTGCTGCTTTAACCTTAGGGTGGGTTTTAGCAGCTTTTAAAGGGGTCGGCAAGTTTGGAGTGATCCTAGGTTATTCGATTACGCAATGTTATCCCCAGTTTTCGGGGATCAGACGAAATTGAGCCCTCACCGCTTTGAGCTAGTCGATCTGGCCCCAGGGTTTCGTTAGGCAATAAATTAAGAGGGTAGAGAGAGAGAGAGAGAGAAAGAGAGAGAGAGACAGAAAGAGGGGGACAAAAAAGCCAATTGGAATCGACACAAATTATCAAAAGCGTCAGGCGGCGGTCTTCCCTCGGGCTCCCTCCACAACCGCTCACCACTCACCCACGACGGCTGGGGGAGACCGAGCAGGAGGAAGAGGAGCAAAAAAAGCGAAGAGAAAAAAATTTTGTACTCAAATTGACCCGTTACCCTGAAAACGCCGAAAAAATAAAGAAGACGGGAATCCTGGAGAAATTTGGCCAAGGCAGGCTAGCAGAGACCATTTGGGAAAATTGCACCCAAAATCTCGACTCACATATTGAAAATGATGATGTCGGGCACCCAGATTTTCTCGAGAGGGAGCCACGTCTTCTCAATGCCCCCGAATTCGGCAGGATCCCAAGATAACGTCTTGTCGTTCCACCGCTCGTCCACGTAGACGAGCACGGTCATCGTCTGCTTCAGCTCGTCGATTCCTGAGCGAAAAATGGTGTAATTTGTATTTTAACGGAATCGCCATCAATGAAAAGTAAAAACTATCAATTACGACGTGAAATTAGGAGTTCTGGTGCCTTTAAAGGCTTGCCGGATTCGGTTACGCCATGAAATTCGCCGCTCACCTAAAATGTGAACAATCTCCAGCTCGTACTCAACGATGAGGCGACCATCCGGTGGAGCACAAGGGTGATGCTTTTTCAGGAGGAATTCGGTCAGCCTTCTTGATGCTCCTGGAAGGTTCAACGGTGCTTGAAAGTGAGCAGAAGCCCAAGCTTACGCCTAAACCTAAGCCAAGCTCCTCAAGAATCTCTGCTCGCCTCACTTTGTAGTTTGTATTTTGGCCCGGAAACCGCGTTCCCAAACAACCTGAAGCTCAAACAAGAAGCCGGGCCCTTCAAATGCCCTCCGGCTACGCGATCAATCTCCATTTCGGAGGAGCACCAACCCGCCAGGGCCAGCTGAAGCTCCCATTTATTTCAGGACGTTCAAAATGTTTTCTCTCTCCCTCTCTCCCTCCCTCTCTCTCGCTCTCTCGCTCTCTCTCTCTCTCTCTCTCTCTCTCTCTCTCTCTCTCTATCTCTCTCTTTTTCTCTTTCTCTCGCTCTCTCTCTCTCTCTCTCTCTCTCTGTCTCTCCTCTAAGGGGTTGACGCAAAGAAATTTAAAGGGACGACCCCCGGGGGAGCGATTTTTAAGCAGGGCCCCAACTCGACTTATGGATACTTGGGTGTTCTACGCCACAAAAAAAATCAAAAAGAAGAACGGATAGCATCATTTTTGAACTTTAGAGCAAAAAGCAAAAAGCAAAAAATGGCGCGCCGGGGGGTCGAACCCGGGTAGCTAGATTGGAAGCCAGACGCTAACCGATTGCGCCAACGTTTTGGGCAAATCTTTTGGCTAAATGCTTGATTTTTCCAGATTTTCTGGATCTCTGTATATTCCGGAGGACCGGAAGCGCTTTGGGGGATGAAAATGGGTCCCCTGGCCGGCTAGTAAAACGCATTAAAAAGGTGCATCCCCGCGCCTCCGTCACAAATCAGCCATTTCCCAAATGGGGGCCCAGGCCGCTGGAAAGGGCCCAAAAACAGGGAGACCAATGATTTTTGGCCATTTCGGAGGAGGGTGCGGCAGGCTAGCAGGGGTTCTTTGCGGAAAAATGGAGGATGAGGCGAGCTAGCAGCGATTCTTTGAGGAATTGCGACTCACCTTCTTCAACAGTCACATTATAAATGTCGGTGTCGGCTTCGTATTGGATCTGAAAGTAGGAATCGATTAGGCCATTAAATTACGCCGTGGAAAACTATACGATACGATACGCTACGAATTACAATAATGACGCTTACGTCGGCTTCGATTTTACGTCGAGGCTTTCGGCCCTAAAATTTGGCTAACTCCTTCCTAAAGAATCTCTGCTAGCCTGCCCCCCCAAATTCCGCAAAAAGCTCTGCTAGCCACCCACATCGACATCCGGTTGCCTCAACAAATCGTTCGTCGTCGCCCACGCGAACAGCACGATGGACGTGAGGAAAATGCAGACGCGACGGCGCATCCCTTGAGGTTTACAAGCTGTGGATTTGCCTTCAACGGTCCTTTAAAATGGAGATAAAGCTGAAAAATCAATAGCGAAAGGTGGAGCTCACTGGAAGAAACATGGGGCTGAGCCGGAGCCACCGATCTGGGTGCCGTGGCCTGAGCATGGCCCTCCAGGCCACGCCCCCTCCGGCTCAACCTTTTGCTCCTGTCTAGAGGGGTTAATCTTTGAAATTGAGCTCCTGCTGGTCAGTTGGATCATTAAAGGGACAGGAAAGTTCGTTTTTTGAGCATACAGAAAATTAAAAAGGAGACTCAGGCAGGCTAGCAGGGACCATTTGAGATCCAGGTATACTAGCAGATCCATGGGCCCTAGGTGGGACCCATGCTCACCAGATGTTTCACTAATGAGTGGAGGGTGTAGTAAAGGAGTCGGAGTATCTCTGCCTCTCTCTCTTCCTCTCTCTCTCTCTCTCTCTCTCTCTCTCTCTCTTTCTCTAGTCTTCGAATTCGATTAGGTCGCAGAAAGGCGTCACCATCTTTCTCTCGCTGTCTCTCCACTCTTTCGCTTTCCAAAATTTATTTTCATACAGATTCCGACGCAGATTTTTTACGCATATTCCGAATATCTTGGTTAACACCTCGCGCATTGGAGAAGATTTTCCGAAAACCGCGTTTAAAGTTAAATTCCAGGTAGTCCCTGCCCTCCCGCTTGGCCCCGAGCCAGACAGTCCATGGCTGACCCCGCGTGTCCCTCTCCCTCTCTCATCTCGCTTCGGAATCGAGTGCGGACGCGGGACCGGAAGCGGCCTCCACCTTTTCCGCCTCAACCCCACCAATCTGCTCCAAATAGCAAACATCAAACAAGAGAAGAATCGCCCCGCGCCCCCCTATGGTCCCACGCACGGGATGATAGCGGAAGTGCATCGGGATGGGAAGCGACGGAGGAGGGCGATGCGGTCACTGTCGGAATCGAGAAGGCCGGGGCAGGCTAGCAGCGAGTAATTGGGAATCCTGAAAAACGCTGCTTGTCGAATTACAAGACGTAATCGAGTCCAAAAAGCTCTCCGCAATCGAGAATACGGTATCTGCAAAGCTCCTTTGATGATCCGCTAATAGCCCGAGGGCAAATGTGATTTGTCGGCCCTAATCAACGCCCCGACAGCTTTTCGGGTGTTTTTTTGAGCGAACGATGGGGTTGGGTCGTTAATCAGAGGGGCAAATTGGCTGAGGAACACCTCGAGGAGAAGGAGGGTGAGCTGGCAGAGACCATTTGGGATCAGGAGAGGAAAGGGCTGGCTAGCAGAGATTCTCTGAGGAATTTGAGGCGAGGTGATGGAGGGGCAGGGTAGCAGAGATTTTTGAGGAATTGGAGCGCAGAGCCAGCTAGCAGAGATTCCTTGATCCCGATCCCCGCCTGGTTACCGCTAATTGGGTGCGATGTCTGCCGGCGGGATTTTTGTTGCGCCCGGGGGTCTCCCCTGGCCAAGGAGCACGAGTTACGACGTGCAGCTCCCGGTGGCCGTTGTCTCAATTTATGGCCCGGCCACTGGGCCCTTTGAAATGGGCCCCCGGGCCCACGGATGGGTGATTTTCAGGGTTGTGGGGACCCGGAAACAGGGGTGGGCAAGGTAGGTAGATCTGAAAAATGAGGACTGCCGGGATTTTGGTGGCGGGGCAGGGACTGCCGGGAGGGCGGGGGGAGAACGGCTCGGAGCGCCGGAAAAATTTGAGATTTTTAACAATGCAACATTGCAGGTAACAAGTATTTCATCTGGAAAACGGAGAGAAGCATTTGTTTGAATAATTGAATTATTGTATGTAGTAAGCATTTGGGTTTTTCCGGCATAATCCGGTTTTATGGTTAAGCGAGGTTTTTCCGGCATAATTCCGGAATACGGCAATTTGAGGGGCCTGAAAGTGGCACCAGATTATAGATCTCATCATTTCGCGTCGAACCATACCCTACATGTCCTTTCGGCAGTCCGACTTCGATGAAATGTTGGACTGCCGGATTTGAACCCGCGTCTGCAAAATGAAAAAAACGGGTTTTTGGGGACCGGGTCGCGACCCTTTAGGGGCCCATATCTCGGGGCCCCAACAACGCACCGGGACGGTAGATAGATCATTTTGTAGCTCAGGATTGGGGCAATCTGGTGGTGTATCAGTCTTCTTAAGAAACCGTAGGAGGCCGGAGATCCTGGACTGCCGAGTTTGAGGCCATTTTGCAGGAGCACATTTTACGAGTTTCTTCTAAGAATCATATCTCGATAATTTCTCGATGGAATTGGCTCAAATTTTCGGAGGAGATGGACCGTCAGCTGTTCTATCCAAGGCCTGGTAAAGCGAAACGTCGGCAGTCCGTTTTAGGAGGTAAAAAGAGCGATTTACATTCTGCAGACATTTTGCAGACGCGGGTTCAAATCCGACAGTCCAACATTTCCTCGAAGTCGGACCGCCGAAAGGACATGTAGGGTATGGTTCGACGCGCAATGACGAGATCTATAATCTGGTGCCACTTTCAGGCCCTCAAATTACCGTATTCCGGAATTATGCCGGAAAAACCTCGAAAAACTAGCTTTTCCGTTCCGGCAGTCCAACATGTCCATGAAGTCGGACTGCCGAAGGGGCATCTTGGGTATTGTTCGGCGCGCAATGACGATATCTACAATCTGGTGTCACTTTCAGGGTGAAAAATTAACATATTACGAAAATAGAGCGGAAACCCCTATAAAATAACCCTATTTCCATATATCCGTTCGAACAGCTCAAGGATAACGGACTGCCGACGGGACATATAGGGTATGGTTCGACGCGGAACAATGAGATCCACAATTTGGCGTCACTCCCAGACCGTGAAAGTCCTTGGAATCTATCTAATTGCGCCATCAAATGGTAACCCAAGTATGGCGGCGTAGCCGCCCCGCCAAAAATCGCTTTTTCCCTTCCAAAATGGACTGCCGGACCCCCGGAAAATGGACTGCCGGGAATTTGCCGCTGCAAAAACTTGCCCACCCCTGCCCGGAAATGAAATCGGGCCAGGTAAGCAGGTTTTCGCAAAGAATCCCTGCTAGCCTGCCCCACGAATTGCGCAAAGAACATCTGCTAGCCTGCCCCTTCGCTTCGATTCCTTAAAGGATTTCTGCTCGCCTGTCCCTTAACTTCAATTCCTCAAGAAATCCCTGCTAGCCTGCCCCTGGGAACGTGCCTTTTTGCACCCTGAACGATCAGGGTCCCACGGGGCGTCAAGTGGCCTGTGAGCTCTCATGCCGTTTTGTGACAAGCTATGTAGATAGGATGTCTGTCTGCCAGACCATTTCTCTCTCTCTCTCTCTCTCTCTCTCTCTCTCTCTCTCTCTCGTTTCTAAAACGTGGTCTTTCAAAGTCCTTCCCTCCCTCCTTTCCTTTCCCAATTCCGGGTCCTCTTTAGTTGCTGTGACGGGGGATTATTCCACGGCAAATACCGTCTTCCCAACATTGGAGGACTGGAAATAGGACGGAATGGAATGGAAGAGGGCCAGGAAGTGACTCCACTCCCACCGCCATTCCACTACGCTCCTCAATACGGCGGCGATTCCGTTTGAATACGGGCAGGGTAAGGGGTACTGTAGCAAGGGTATCGCAAGGGAAAGGGAGAGAGGGGGAGAGATAGAGATAGAGAGAGAGCGCGCAAATAGAGAGGGAGAAAGAGAGCGAGAGGTGCCAGATTCCCTTTAAAAATTGAGATCGCCCCTGAAATTCCACTTTTTCCTATCGACAGTCCGTAGCCCTTCCAGACACCCGTCCCCAACCCCTGGAGAAGCCTGGGGGCACATTTCTGCACTCGAGATGTCCCTGCTCTCTTCGAGGCTTCATCTTTTCGGTGTCGCCCGGTGTTCCTCTGGGCCGGATCGGTACATCCACCCACCGGTGGAGCGACGAATTTTCAACGGCGAAAACCTGGCGAGTCTCGGCTGAAAGGGAAGGTGACACCCTGGAAGTTGACAAAAACGGGCAACAACGGAAAGTTTTGATGTCGTGATCGGTTGAGTATTGTCCAGTCGGGCAACAGATGAAGATTCAGCTCAAAATTCCGCTTCCTTACGAAAATAAGGGCGAATTCGGCTCTAGGGATCCGATTACGATCTGAGTCCTCTAGCCATTTTCTCCTCAGTTCGACACCGATCAGAACAGAACATCAACTAACCACTCGATCGGGAACGTTTGAAAAATTTATGCAAAGCCGTGGTAACCGATTACGACATGGAATTGTCGGCGCCGCGAGCACTTTATAAGGCTTTGTACGAGCTGAAAATTCACAGGCTTCCGCACCGCTATTGTTTGGTCTTGGCATACGGTAATTCCCCGACAATACGTTTCGTTGCGGTTGCAAAATTTTTAGGTTCCCTTCCAGTAAAAAAAGCTTTTCTGAGTAGTTAGGATAGAAATTAGCCAAGACCCTGCCGTCTCCAGGCTTCTCGACCTCCTACCGTACCCCCTGGGGTGCCCCCGCCCCACTTTTCAATGACTCATCGTTGGCATATGCCGTCATTTTGGTCCCTGTGCCCCACACCGGGGCTAAAATGGAGTGTGTGGGAATCTGTGGGCCAGAGAGAGAGAGAGATAGAGAGAGAGAAAGAGAGAGAATGCCCATCCCCAGCTGAATGGCAACATTTTCCGGTCCGTATTACGCCGAGTCCATAGTCTGACGTCGTAGTCGCGCCAGATCTTGATATTCCACCACTTCAGGAGGTGCGGCGCGCGCGGCGCGACGAGCTTCCCGGTCTGTTTAAAGGGACGGTGAAGAGAGAGAGAGAGAGAGAGAGAGAGACGGCGAGAGAGAGGCGAGAGAGAGGCGAGAGACAGCAACAGTCCACCCCGCTATATAAGTCGAAAGGGGCGGGCGGGGCGCGGAGGGGAAGGGAGGGCCCATCTTGCGCGCGCGCACGCCGATTCCACTCCACTCCTCAGTACACCCCCCGAGGGGGCTACACACCGATACGGGCTGACGTTTAGTACTGTAGTATTTGGATTTGGGTTTCCTGGGATGCCCTCTAGGTTTTCATGTCTTTATTTCTCCGCTAAACCTTAAACTCGTACAAATTCTAGATACCGTAACCAGAAAACGCCCATTTTCACAGGGAGGATTTATTCCGGTTTTTACGATAATTTTCCTCTTGCGTCAATAGTTTTGCATCCAGAAAACCAGAATTCAACAAATTTTAGACAAATTTTAGTCATTTTCTGTATCTTTCCGCATCTTTCCATAGCGTAACTTGTAGTAAATTGTACTCTTTTGCCTCTGATGCGTTTTTTGCTTCAATATTAATCTAAAAAACACTATATCTTTATTTTTACGTTTTCAGCCTTCCCCTCGCCCCGCCCCCCTTTCAAGACACACACAGGATGAAGCCGGTGGTCGCGTCGTTGGCCGTGCTGGCCGTCGTTGGCGTTGGCATGTTGTTGCAGGTACTGTAGCTCGTCCAGGATTTAGAATTTGGTCCCTAATGGTCTCTGCTAGCTTGCCCGGGCTTAAACCTCGATTTTAACCGATTTTTCAGGTGGCCCTCGCCCAGGACAGCCCCGACAGCCCCGAAAACCCCGAAATCCGCGAGGCCAACACGACCCTTAGCCGGCAAAAGCGTCAATTTGGTGCGTCGCGGTGGCTTCAATGGCCCTTTAAAAGCTGGAGAACCTTTTTCTACACCCTCGAAAACCTATAAAAACTTTTGAAAAAGTAAAAAATGACATTTTGCTAATTTTTTTGTCAATGTGGTCAAAAATCGATCGATTACCAATTTATTTTTGTTAATTCAATGCGTAAATTGTATTCATTTTTTAAAAGCTAGCGAATTAATTTTGGGACTCCAGAAAACCCAAAAACAACTTTTAAAAACCTGAAAAATGACATTTAGTGAATTTTTGAGTACTGTAGGTCCAAAATCGATCAAAAAAGCGATAAAGCATAGATTTTTAGATTAAAAAAATATTTTTTGAATTCAGGATGCCCGGCCGGGTGCTACTCGTCGTGCAACAACAACCAGCAGTGCCAGCAGTACTCCCTGCAGGCCGTTTGCGTCCAGGGCTGCTGCTGCGGCTCCACCACCACCCTAGCCAGTGAGTTGCCGGGGCCTTTAAAGTGGAAAAACTATTGTTTTTGTCATTATTCACTATTTTACCGGTCCGTGGTTAGATTCTGCTCGATCTCCAGATTCTCGTCGTTTTCCTGCCATTTTTCTGGGGCTGCAAACCTTTCTATGAAGCTTCGCACTTCCGGACTCGATAACTCGAGAATTCTGTGTTGAAATTTCATGAGATTTATACAGTAACTAGATGCTACGGTGTTTTACATTCCCTGAAAATTCCAGACAATTTGCTTCAGTCTTTCTCGAGATACACCCCAAAGACTGTCCCACCCTGGGGTCGATTCCGTGTCGCTCCTCAAGACGCCCTCTCCAGAATTTAGCCCCCCGGCCCAGGACAAACAGCACCGAGATTTCGCGGGAGGGGGAAACGCATCGTTCCGTAGCGTTCCGTTGCGCAACCGGGGGCCCTCGGGGCAAATAGACCGTAAAACAGACAGGCGAGACCCAGGGGGTATTTTGCACCCAAAGTACAGTAATCGATTGATCCGGGAGTTGAAATTCTAGCCTTATACGTCCCTTTAAAACGAGGAATTATGATATTTAGCGCATACTACACTCTGTGAATCGATTAGAACAAAAATCTAGACCCTAAAACGTAAATTCGGAAGGTTTGGCTCGATTCCAAAAAAAATTCCAGACTTCACTGGCCCTTTAAAATCGATTTCTAGTCGAACTTGATATTCGATTTTGATGGAAATTATGGAACTTTGGTTTTTTCTCCCCCAGCTATCGATTACCCTCGAAAAAATTACAAAAATGACAAATCCGAGCTTGACCCTAAAACCTGACCTACCTACCGTAACCCCCAATTCTTTCAGCCGCCTGCTCCGGCGGCCCAGCTGTTGCCGCGTGCCTCGGCGGTCTCTGCGGCCAGGGCTACTACTGCTCCTCCAACAACTACTGCTGCCGATGCGCGTCCGGCAACTCCACCGGTACGTCGTACACCTACTTACGGGGGTCGTAATTCGGAATCCGTCGTAGTTTGGCGTCCTAAAACTACGTATATAGTATTTTCAAGTAGCTTCAGCATCGGCTAAGAAAATTACGCCAAAAAATAGAACGTAAATAGTATCGCAACGGAATTCCGGAATTACGGAATCGTAACGTCAACAGTAGCGCATCGTACGTGGCTTTTCAAAGCGTAAAATCCCCTATTACTGCTCTATTTTTCAGGCCCGTGCGTCAACAAGGTGTGCCCCACCGGATACGTCTGCAACACGAACGACTACTGCTGCCCCTTGGGCTCGGGAGCCGTCCTTGGCCCGTGCGTCAACGGCGTCTGCCCCACCGGATACACCTGCGGAGCCGGCAATCTCTGCTATCTGACGACGCTCGGTTAAATTCTGACCCAGCTACAGTATCCTCACTACAAATCCCACCCTCTCCCGCTCAAATACGCGTCCAAATCCCCAAGTCTTCTCGTACCCCTCGATTTTGTAGTCTGTAGTCAGGGGTTTTTGCCGCTTAACTCGAGAGTGATGTGTTGAATTGGGCTGTAATTTTTTGTGGCTTATAAGCTGCGTCTTGCTCTAGCTACTGTAAAAATTTGACGCTGATAGCTACAGTAATCCTCGAGTTATGGCACCGGTAAGGTTCGGAAAATTCCGCGACACTCCGGTGGCCATATCTCGAGAAGTACTGTAGGGAATTGGCTGAAATTTTGGTGGCTTATAGCCTGGAATTTACTTTATCATTCCAAAAATTTGCAGCCCGATCTATTGCGTAGTTCTCGAGTTATACAGCTTAAACCCCGTCCCGCCCAGCCGCGTCCAGTGGTGCCCGGCGTACTGTCCTGTCCGTATCCCCGTTGCCATCTGTCTTTCCCCAAGTCGCCCCATATTTCGGGGGCCCCTTGCAAAGGTTCTTAACTTAATTTATTATATTTATTAAGCTATTTTAAATTATTTTATAACGTAATTTCTCCTCTCCGAGACCCGATCTACACTCCAACCATTCTTCCCTTTTCTCTTGGCATGTTTCCAATATTTTTTAAGATGATTTATGTTTTGTATTGCGCCGGAAATGCCCCGAGTTGTGTGTTTTGAAATGTGTTGGCGGAAAGCGAATAAATGGATTCGATCTGTGGCAGACTAGAGACGAAAAAGGCGGGCCCCGGGAGGAGACCGGTTCGGGCGCTATCAACCCGGGGCTACAGACTATAAATTGCCCCCCGAAAGGTCGCAAATATGTTTACTACTCCGAAAATTGCATTATTAATATTGTTGCATGATTTTTTCTGCATAGAATTTTCTAAAAATATTTTTATCATCTTTAGCACGTTTTAAAGCGATTGTCCCGAAAATTCCCCAATATTCTCTCCTAGCTTGCCTCGTTTTGCCGCGATTTTCGTTTTCCGGCTCGCAAAGAATCTCGGCTAGCTTGCCTAGGGCTCTTATAAGCTAAATAAGCGATTACTGTAGGTTTATCAGGTGAACCGGTTACGCAAGGAAAAATCTTTGCGAAGTCTGAATTTTGTTACTGTAAAAAACTATTTAATTGGTCATTTTTAGATTTTTTGGCTAATGTGGCCTATATTTTTAAGCTATACACTCTGGAATACACCTCTTTACGCTCAATTTTCCGATTACGACAGCCACTTCTTTACCCTAGATTCCGTACTACACCTATAGCCGCAAAGAATCTGATTTACCGATTATTGTAAAATTTTTTTGAGGTTACGATGCCATAACACACCTTTTGACGTTCAGATTCGCTGTTTTTCCAGTCCGTAATCCACCTCTAAACGCAAAAATCCGCGGTTTCTTGGGTTACGGTATCACTTTCCGGAGTCAGGATTCCACAATACACCTGTGTACATATGTCCTCAGGGGGAAAACGGCCTCCGGGACAGGGGGGTCTAAATAGTGTTTGCGCTGTTCCGGGAGCGGACATTAGTGTCTGATCCTGGGGGAAATCGGCGGGTGTCCAGAGGAGTGTTCTGTTGTGTCTCCAGAATGGAGACCCCCGGGGGCCCTGAGGGGATTTTTCTCTCTTTCTCTGCTGTATCTCTCTCGCTCTCTCTCGCTCTCTCACCTTCGAATTCTTGAGGATTCCTCAGAGACCCGCGCGCGAGTCACGAAAGACAAATAATGCGCGGCGTCTAATGGGTGGACAGGGGGGGGGATGGAGGGCCCTTACCGGGATTCTGATACTAAATTGGGGGCAAACTAGCAGGGATTCTTTGAGGAAAATCGGAATCTATAGATATTTGTCTTCTGTGGCCCTTTAGAAGTAAGGGGCAAGCTAGCAGAGAGCCTTGGAGAGCAAAGGAACTAGGGCAATCTTGCGGGGGTTCTTTGAGAAATTTCTGACTTTTCTGACTCTTTAGGAGGTCACTGGCAAGCTAGCAGAGATCATTGAGGATTTGAATCGATAATTTGACCTCAACCGGTCTTTAAAAGCCTAGGGCAAGCTAGCAGAGATCGCTTGCGGAATTCGCGAACCAGCAGTGATTACTTAGGATTTTTGGTCTCACAATGCCTTTAATGGCCCTTTAGAAGAATTCGAGCAAGCTAGCAGAGACCATTTACCTTCACTAACCCTTTAACGCCAAAAATTTGCATGTTCCAGTCGATTTAGGCGCCTTGTATTTAGCAAAAGCCACCTTTCTAGTCCACCATGCTCCTTAGTACGCTTCTCCGCACTCGGGCCAGTCCCATCTGTAGGTTTTGCCTCGGTCTCCCGTCTGTCTCAACGCCTTTAAAGCCCTGTTTTTACAGTACGTATGCCGGTGCTTCGCGTAGTCACGAATCTGGGCGACGTGCCCGAGACGCTCGAGGCTCAGCTGACCAAGGTGGTCGCCGACATCATGAAGAAGCCGGAGGAAAGGTTCTGGTGTGAGGTAAGCTCAAAACTAAGCCTAAGCCTAAGTCTAAGTCTAAGCCTAAGCCAAGCTTAAGCCAAGCCCAAGCCCAAGCTAAGCCAAACGTAAGCCTAGTTCCATGTTTCCAGGTGCAAACCGGAGCCCGGATCTCGCAGGGCGGCACCAAGGATCCGTGCGTCTTCGTCTCGGTAAGGGCAGCCTAGCAGAGATTCTTTGAGGAATTGGAGGGCAAGCTAGCAGCGATTTTTTAGGTGAAATCGATCGGAGCCGTCGGAAAGGACGAGAATCCCAGACTCTCCCAGCAAATCACCGACTACTGCCACAACGCCCTGTCGGTGGCCAAGGACAAGGTGTTTCTTTCTTCGCTCTCTCTCTCTCTCTCTCTCGCCTTTCACGCTTTTTTCCAGATTTCCGTGCAATACATCGACATGGACCCGAATACGTTTGCTCGTGGCGGGACCACCATCGCCGAGCAGCTCGCCCAACAATCCAAACAATAGAAATGTTCCTTTTTACGCGGTACCGCTACGCTACATTCCAGAGTACATACGGTAGAACGAGTAATAAACTGCTTTTTAGTCACTTTATCGATTGAATTACATCGACTTACATGGCGTAATCGATTACGACACTTTAACGACGTATAAAGCTTGATCCAGACTTTTTAAAGGGGAAATACCTGGCGTAATCGATTACGCCACATTATTTCGCAAAGAAACACTGCTCGTCGTCGCTGATGAAGTCGCCGCTGTGGAAGGCGTACGCGTCGTGGAGTGCTCCAGCCCAACGATGAGCAGAACGCTGAAAAATTGGCTTAGACTTGGCTTAGGCTTAGCCTTTGGCTTACCTGCTTATCGGCTTCCAATATGGTAGATGAACAAATTTGCTCGATCAAAATCGGCAACCCCTGGAGTACAGCGTCAAGATGATGACGTCGGAAGGCTCTAAAAACGTATATAAGTAAGATACGCAACACGTACTGCTTCAAGTCGCTGAGCTTGAACTTTTGGGCGCGGATGTCGATGAGGGTGTAGAAATAGGTGCGGAACACCTGGAAAAACGAATTTTCGGCCCTCAGAAAATTTCTAGGCCCCTTTAAAGGCCAACTGAAGACAGAAAACTATGGATTTTGCCTTCTATGGTCCTTTAAAGTCCATTTAAAACCTTTTACCTTCATGAAATGGTCCCTTCTCACGGAAGCCGATGCCGAGGAGATGATCAGCGTCGTCAGGTCGTAGGCCGGGTGGCCGAAATGGACATTCTGGAATGAAAAATGTTCCTCAAGAATCTCTGCTAGTCTGCCCTCACCTCCCAGTCGACAATCGACAGCAATCGGCCATTCGCATCAAACCGCAAATTGTCTGCCGTCAGCTGGCCATGGCAGAGGACTTGAGGCGCTTCTTCTGGGGGAGAATCACGGAAGGAGATGTACAGTTCGTTTAGCTGGAAATGTAGGGTAAAACTACAGACTACAAATTGTCGAGACTCCAAGCTACAAACTACAAAAAGGAAAAATGGCGCTGACTTTCGCTATTTGGTAGTTTCCAGCTTGCCTAGCCTTGTTTTTCTACTTTTTTTTGATGTTATATGGTAAACTAGAAACTACAGACCCCAAACTAGCGTATACTACAAAGTACAAACCTCTTTTAACACTTTTTCAGGCTCTGGGAAAAGTGGGGAAGCACAGATCTGTGAGAATTGTTGAACGGCCTCTTGGATGGATTCTCGACGGTATTCTGAGACGACCTAAAAACTGGCTTTTCCGCAAAGAATCCCTGCTAGCTACCTGGTAATTTTCCATTACTGTACGGCAAAACTCGCGGTGTTCGTCGTAGGTGCTAAAAAAGTGGGTTAGAGAGAGAGAGTGAGAGTGAGAGAGAGAGAGAGAGAGAGAGAGAGAGAGAGAGAGGAAGAGGGAGGGAGAGAGATAGATCGAGAAAGAGAAAGAGAGAGAAAAGGAGAGAGAGCGAGTGGCAGATCCTACCCGATGGCGTGCAGCCGTGCCAACTGCTCGGCAACTTGTTGAAGATGTGCGAGCGAGAGTTCAGCAGCTGCCAGGCCGTCATGCCGGGTAAGGGCGAGGAGCTGAAATTTACTCGCAAATTATCTATGCTAGCTTGCGCAGTTTCCCCAAGAATCTCTGCTAGCCGGCCCCTCTCTTCCTCAAAGAATCTCTGCTATCCTCCTCACCGAAAAATGAGCATGACTGTCCTCGATCCGGAAAACTCCGCGTGGATGCCCCACAGGTACTGTAGATTTGTTCAGTGCTGCGAATTCGTGGAAAAATCGGGAATTGTAGAAGCCAGCCTGTAATGAATTAAATAGCATAATCGATTACGCCATGAAAATCGAAATGTTATTGCATAATCGATCAAATACCCACCAAAACTGCAGCTTTATGCAGCGATTCCGGCTCCTCGACCTCTTCCGCAAGTAAAACTTCAAAGGCCTCGTCTCTAGACTGAAAATACCGATTTTCACAAAGAATCTCTGCTAGCTTGCCTTGAGGTTAATGACGGGGATTCCGAGCTGGGTGGATCTGGGCTCTTCCTCCTCATAGGGATCGAGCCCGAGCTGTCTGGCTGCTACAGAAGCTATTGTTTGAGACATATCTGGAATGCGGCAGGCTAGCAGAAGTTGTTAGGGAAATTTTGCTGATTTCACTGGTCCTTTAAAACACGAAAAATGGCAAGCTAGCAGAGATTCTTTGAGGAATTTCAGAGGCTTTACTGGGTCTTTAAAATGTTTGTAAGGCAGGCTAGCAGAGTTTCTTTGAGGAACTGGGCCTTTAAAATTCGGAAAAGGTAAACAAGCAGAGATTCCTTGAGAAATTCATCCCCAATAGTCTCTGCTAGCTTCCTAGCCTCCCTAAGGATTTCTGCCAGCCTGCCTAGCCATTTTATCGTCGAAAACGCTTGATAAAACCCAAAAAACTATAAAAACCGAATAAAACGCGTCTGGTCGTGAATTCCGGGCCGGAAACCTTGTGCGGGAAGTGAGGCTATCTTGCCGTTTGCTGCTTCGTCGGCTTATCTATCTTTTAGAAGAGGAGGGGAGGGGAGGGGGACACTAAAACAGCCGATGACGAGTCGGGGAGCTGCAGAATTCCAGCAAAAAGAGGCCCAAAAAGGGCGTAGACCAGCTGAAATATGTGTGGAATGTTGCAAGTTGGGCTTAGGCTTAGGCTTAGGCTTCGGCTTAGACTTGGCTTAGGCTTGGCTGCGGCCTGGCTTTGGCTTGGCTTAGGCTTCGGCTTGGACTTAGGCTCAGGTTAGGCTGAGGCTTAGGCTCAGGCTTAGGCTTCGCCTTGGGCTTGGGCTTGACTTTCCCAAGCAATTTTCATAGGATTTTGAACCTTTGCTCTCAGGGCAAGCTAGCAGAGACCATTTTCCCCCTCCCTCACCATATATCCGGCAATTCTGTTTGCCATTCGCCCATTCGGGGATGGGTGTGGATCGGAATTGGTCGACTCTGGATCGGTTTGCGCCCCGGGGCACGTAATCCGTGGTTTTCTGGTGCCCTCTCTCTCAATCCCTCTCTCTCTCTCTATCTATCTCTCTCTCTCTCTCTCTCTCTCTCTCTCGCTCTCTCCTCCCGGAAAACCCGCCATCATTGGGCTGGGCAGCAGCAGCTTTTCCCCAGTCCCCCAAAAACAGCAGGTTCTGCCCTCCAGATCCAATCCGATCGGCTAGCCCCGGGTAATCCTTGCGAATGGCTAACGGCACAACATTCTTGCGTTCCGCTAGGCACCACGCAACGTTTCCGCAAAGAAACTTTGCTAGCCTGCCTCCCTCGTTTTTCCTCTCATGTTTCCTAGCGTAATCGTATCAAAAAAAAAAGAATTTTTCGTTCAGAAATGGTACTCCGGCTCGTCTGCTTCGTCTTATTTTTTGCTGGTAAGCGCTTAGCATGGCATAGGCTTAGGCTTGGGCTTAGGCTTAGGCTTAAGCGTAGGCTTGGGCGTGAGGTTAGGCTAAGACTTAGGCTAGTATTTCAGGAATCCTGGCCGACAGCATCGAGATGGCGGAGGGTTCCGGACTTTGGGAGGGATCAGGAGCTACAGTCGAGGGCAGTGGAGGTTAGTCGATTACGCCATGAAATTCAGTCTCTGTTGGCCACTAACCTACTGTATTTTCTTTTAGCTCAGGCGGTAGAAGGCTCAGCCGAGAAACCTGAAGTTGTTGAACAACCCGTCACGACCACCCAGGAGACGCTGGACAGTCAGGAGATTGTGAGTGCCACCATCCCTTTAAACCCGATTTTTTTATGTTCCAGTCCCTTTAACTTACAATCTAACTTCAGGAAATCCTGCGCTCGATAAGCTTGACCGACTTGGCCACCCAGGCACCACTCGGGAACCAAGTCGAAGCATCGATCGATGAGGAGCCACTTTCTGGGACTGTTCTCAAGGGAATGGAGCAGCGGATAGAGAGGTGAAGCCTAGCCTAAGCCTAGCCTAAGCCTAAGCCTAAGCCCAAGCCTAAGCCTAAGCCTAAGCCAAGTTATCGCTCTATTTCCAGAGACGTCCACCCCGGCTACAGCTGGCAACGCCTTGAGCAGCTCCTGGGGCAGATTGTTGATGAGCAGGTATGCTAAATCCACCTGTTACTGTGTCTTTAAAACTTAAAACAACAATTTTTAGCTCCAGAACGTGAGCAGCACCGCCAAGCCGAGCGTAAGGAAGGAGGAGAAATGCCAGAAATTCCGGGAATGCCATCAGGATGGGGATTGCGGAAAGGTGGGCACGCTAGCAGAGATTTTTTGAGGAAATGGGGGCAGGCTAGCAGGCATCTTTTTAGGAATTGGAGGAGAGACTAGCAGGGATTTTTGCGGAATTCAGGGCCAGTTAATTTATTGTTTTAGAAAGGCCGTTGTATGGGTTCTCTGGTCGGAAAGTGCAACTGCAACGCTTGTCTTCAGGGGGCAGCTTGCACAGGTAATTGCGGAATTCTTGACCTGCTGTCACCATCCCTTTCAAAAAAAAATCGTATTTTTAGATGATCAGCAATGCGGAGGGTTGCGAGGGGCTTGCAGGGAGGGAAGCTGCGGATGTGCTCAGGTAAGGAATTACTTCTCGTAATCGATTTTTGAGGGTCGTTGGTTTGAATTTTAGGCCTTAAAACATCGAATTTAGCCAAATTTACGTCGATAAACCGAATCAGCAGCCTTAAAAACACCTAATTTCATGGCGTAATCGATTTCAAGGGCCGAGGTTCGATCCCCCGCCGAGGTCAACCTTTTGCTTTTGAATTTTGGGCTAGAACTTCCAAAAATTTGCTGATTTTAGGTGTTCGCCTCTCGCGGCCTGTCCCTCTACATCGAGGTGTTGACGCAATTCTGCGCCCGTCCGGGTTGCAGCTCGGAAAATGACTGTCTTGGACTGCCGTGCAACTCTGGCCACTGTGACTGTAATTAAATCGATATTTATGTGTTTTTCCTAAGCCTAAGCTAAGCGTATGCCTAAGTTTTTTCTATGCTATTTCCGCTTTTTATGTCTTTCCTCCAAACTACGGGACATTCCGATATATGCAATAATACTGCCAATATTTTCGTTGCGTAATGCGATAAAAATTCTATTTTTGACTATTTCAGATCTGGCAAGCTAGCAGAGATCATTTGGTAAACAGAAAATGAAGACCTGGAAAGCGGGGAAGCAAATTACAAGCAAAAAAGTCCATTTGCATACCGTAATCATGCGGAAAGTAACGGAATTCTAGCAAAAATGCGGTTCTCTATCTGTTTTTTCAAGGGCAGAGAACCTTTAGAGGATGTTAACCGATGTCTGGAGAAGCCAGGAGGAAAATACACCAAAATACTGATGTACGTCTGCAGTAATCAGCGTATCGTAGCGGAATTTTGTGAAAATAGCTGTTTTCAGATTTTTTTTGCAGGGGCAAGCTAGCAGATACAATTTGGGGAATTCCCAGCGACTTTCTAGCTAGCAAAAACCCAGTTCTACCATAATCCCCCTCCCAAAAGCCCCGATTTTACCCTGCATGCCCCGGGGGCACCAATTAGCAAGGTAAAGCCGCAGCCCCGATCGGGTGTATTCCCGTCGAGAAGTCTGGAAACCGGTCTCCCGCCACTCGACAGTACATTGACTTCCTATGGCCTGCAATTACGCGATGATCCGCTGGAGGTACGTAGCCCCCGAGGGCATGCAATCCCCAATTCTCTCTGCTCGCCTCTCTCTCCTTGTCTATCTCTCTCTCTCTCTCTCTCTTTCTTTCTCGCTCTCTCGCTCTCTCTCTCTCTCTCTCCCACTGCTGACCTTCGCTTTCAAGACCGGAAATGGAAAAGTCGAGTCCCGCGGGGGGGAATTTTGGGGTGCCATTGTATCTACCGGCTGTACGCTACGCTACTCGCAACACCCCTGGGTACTGTAGAGCGTTTTAAATTCTTAAAAACATCGTTTAAACGTATTTTTTTACCAGCACAATTATTACCGCCTAAAAACTACCGTATCCCCAAGCTACAGTACCCCCAATTCCAGGATGCTCCTCCTGTCATTGTTGTCGCTCGTAGCGGCAGTTTTGGGTTACTGTGGCCCGAGGCCTTGCCAGCGACCATACGCTCGACCCTCTTACTATCAACCCCAGCCTCTGGGATATCAACAACCAAGGGGGTATTACTGTACTTGGGATATCCGATTACGCCATGAAATCAATTCCAGGCGGCTACGCGACTGGGCCATACACATCTCCAGTGGAATTAGCGCCTGGAAGTCAGCAGCCACTACCACCGATTGATCAGCTGGTTAATAAGGAGGTACGGTAGCTTTAGCGCTTTTTAGGGATGTCATGGTCCCTCTAAAACGAGCTACGGAGAGCAACAGTAACCCAAAAAATTCAAAGTTTTGAGGATAGGTTTATTGGGGTTTTGTTAAGCTATGATCAAAATTTAGGTTCCCTAGCTCCTCTATTTCCGGAGCCACAAACTACTGAAGATTCCTACCTATCCCACCCCTTTTAAAACGCATCTTCAGGTCGCCGAGCTAACCGGATCCAGCAAAACAGACGCCGACCTCATCTCCAAAGCCTCCCCGAAAACCCTAGAAAGCCGTGACGATGCTAAGGTATCGATTTTCAAAGTATACCTGAAAAATTCTAATTTTTCTAGGACAGCTTCGACGACTTCGAGAAGCAACTGGCTGAGCTGAAGGTGGCTCACGGGAGTCAGCCCGAAGATGCGGAAGCTTCAAAGGCTTTAAAAACCGCTTCAGAAGATCCTAAAGGAGATGAGGCTGATGAAAGCGCGCAGCAGCAGCTTCTGGTAGCGGCAAGTGCACTTCACTGTCCCTTTAAAAGTCGTTGCACACTGTCGGGCGATCTAGTCGCAATTCTTTGCGAAATTGGAGGGGTAGGCTAGCAGAGGATGTTGTGGAATTGGAGGGGCAGGCTAGCAAAGATTCTTTGAGAAATTCTAGTCAAAAACTCATTTCTAGAGCGCAACTTCGCCGAGCCCTCAGGCTCAGTCTCCCCTGTATCTTCGGGGCGGCTTCCAGACCCCAGGCGGAGGTACCGGATACGTACTTCCGCCTACAAGCTATGCGAGGCCAGTACCGTATCGCCCGACGTACTACGCACCGCCACAGCAGCGATATCCGATACGTGAGGCTTTTTGGCGTCAGAGAAACGATTACGAGATAAAATTCGGCTAATTGGATCGATTAATATACTAAACTGGGTCATTATAATGAATTACGACGTGAAATTCATCTATTGAAATCCTTACGACATGAAATTAGTTCGTTTCAAGCAATTATGACATGAAAATCACAGAATTGAGCCGTCCAGGACATGAAATTAGCGATTTAAGTAGATTACGCTTGAAAATTTGTAAAGTACCATCCATCACGACATGAAATTCGGTTCTCGTATCGATTACGCTAGGAAATCGATTTTTCAGAGTGCCCGCCTCCGCAAACCGCCCCATCCTACGCTCAGCCGCAACCGTAAGCCTCTATTACGTTTCTAGGGGTATTAGCCTGGGACGATTACGATAGCTAAATAGCGCTAAAAATCTATAAAAACGCATGGAGTGTTGTGTGGTGTAGCTTGTAGTTTGTAGTCCACGTACAGTTTGTCGTTTTGCAGTGGCTATGGCTATGGCTCTCTGCCGGTTGTCCCGTCCCCGTTGGCCGTGACGCCGTTGCCGCTTCCGGCTGAAGGTTGGCGCTTTGCCAGAGCTCGATGTTAAGGATTTTCCATCGAGAATCCTAGTTTTTACGCTTCCGTTTTTCAGTTGACACGCCCCAGCCACCGCCACCGCCCTCGCCATTTACCAGGTTTAAAAAACTGCTATTTTCTTGGTTTCTGAGTTCAAAATTTTTAGTTTTGTAGCTTCAGCGGGCTTTTTATGCGTTAAATTAGCATTTTTAGCGCTTATTAGTGTGCTGTGGGTGTTTATAAACTAAAAGTTTACCTAAAAACCAAAAAGCAAAAAGCTTGCGCCGGGCAGGATCGAACCCGCGGCCCTATCCAGGCAGGAAAACGCTCTACCACTAGGTCAAGATGATTAGGACAACGTTGAACGTCTAAGATCTCATCAGATCTCTAAGGATCTAAAAAGACAAAAAAGTTACCCCAAAAATTATGGTAATTTTTAAGGTACTACGCGCCAAGGAATGAATGCTGTGGAAGGTGCCGATCCCCTTGTCGCTTCACGGCCAGTAAAGCTGTAGGTTTAATAAATTAGATTACAAAATTAGAATCTAAGCCAGCTTACGCTTCCTCTAAATCGAAAACTAAATTCAAAATTATGCAAAGTCAAATAAAATTTTTTTAGCATGGCGTCTCCAGTCACTTGAAAGGACCGCATCAGCAACAGGTAAGGCGTTCGAGGTCACCCATGGAAATCGGCCATATCGATAGGCTTAGGCTTGGGCTTAGGCTTAGGCTTGGCTTAGGCTTAGCAGGCTTGGCTTAGGCTTAGGCTTAGGCTTAGGCTTCCGGCAGGACCCTTGAGCAAATTGGTTAGACCTCCGTTCTCCTATCCGTCCTGGCAGTGGGCCAGGTGGGGGGCAGTGGGAGGAGCCAAAAAAATTCAAGAATATTATGCAACCTTCAAAAAAATCTCAATTTTTCAATTTTTTTGCTAGCAGTTTTGACTGCCGTTTTTTGATGGCCCTATTATAATTACTGGACTAAAAGGCACAATTTAGCGCCGCGAAATCGTGAACGCCCGCTGCAACAGCCGGAAAGTGGAGCGAATTATGACCGAGGTAAGGCAGGAGAGACGGAATTTGCTCGCGTAATCGATTAAAACCGGGTGAATTTGACCGAATTAAATGGTGTAATTGATTACGCCATGATAATAGACAACTACAAGCTAAATTTAGACAATTTCAAACGACCTGGCCAAATCGAAGCGGACGATACAGAAATTCGCCGAGGAGCTGCTTGGCGGGCTATTTTCGGTGACGTGCTCGAAGGGGATTTTAGGCAAGTTAAAATCGAGGAGTTAAACTACAAAATACGCTATTTAAAACAGATTTAATTAGCTTAAAACTTTCTTAAATCGTAAAATGGAAAGGCAAAATCCAAAAAATCAACTTTTAGCTACGTCTCGCGCTCCGAGCAATTTTGCCAACTCGAAAGAAGGGCACCGTCTGTTATGCGTTCCAGCATCGATAATTTAACTTACAATTTACTTTATACAATTTTTAAACTTTGAAAATCCAAAACCCATAATTTCTAGCATTTTCCAAAAGCGATTCGTAGCCATTTTCCAATGATCTGCCGCGCATTTTTATCGATTTTAAATATACTTATTTATCGTTTGATTTTTCTTTTCACAAGACTACAAAGTACAACAAATAACACACCAGCACAATATTTAATTCGTTTTGAAGTGGAAAACCATAAATTAAGATTTTTATAAATTTGTGTGCCTAATTTGGAGAGCAAAAATCGGAATTTTGAGGCGGCAACGAGCAGGGGGCATTGTGGAATGTTTTTGGAGGCGGCCGGGGTGGATTAATACTTAAAATGAGCATCTTCGGCTTTTTAATTTTTAAAAATTGCTAAAAATCGCCAAAAATGTCCATGACAACTACAAACCACAAAATACAAAAGGCACACTAATACTTTGGTATCGTCGAGCAAAAAGGCAAATATAAATTTCGTGCGTAACCAATTACGCCACGAAAAACGAGAGGCACTTCTGGCAGCCAGAGCGAGGGTCGAAAAATGAGGCATAAAAATCTGCACAAAACTACAGAAAACGACACGTTACGCGGTACGATATGGATTACATGCCGTAAGCGGATGCAAAAAATGATTAACTTGGCAATTTTAGAACTTTTTAGGGCTCAAAAAATCGGAAAAATTCAAAAATAAAACGACGGACAACGCCTATGTACACCTATCACAGTGGTTGCTGATGCGGGATTGGGGGATCCAGAAAAATACAGGGTGAAAATACAGACTACAAAACCTCAAAAGCCATAAAATACAGACTACAAAATCGAGCAAAATCGTTTAAAACAGGCAGAAAAATTCGCATAAAAATCCATTTTATTCCTCCAACATTCGGCGGATTCACACGACACGACAGGACGACGACGAAGAAGAAAACAAAAAGAAGAACAAGGCACACACAATGCAATACAAAAAAGGAGAGGGAGGCGGGGCTTATTAAAAAAGAGATATACGCGCTTTACGATCCCTTTAAAAACACGAGAAATAGCATAGCAGAGACCCTTAGGGAAATGAGGAGGGGAGGATTATTAAGGGGTGAGAGAGGGGGCACAGAGAAATCAGAGTGTGTTAGAGAGCTAGAGAGGGAGAGAGGGTGAGAGAGTGCCGAGAGGCAAGAGAGAGAGAGGGCGAGAGAGAAGCAGAGATATGGATGGCTTCTTCTTGTGTTGTGTAGGTTTAATTGCCCGAGATGTTGAAGCCGTACAGGGAAGAGCTGATCGAGCGGTGGCGAGTCAAGGTGGAAGAGGTCGGGCCGATTCATTCGTGAGGCTGAAAAAGAGGCGATTTTAAAGGGCCGTTGAAGGCAAAAATGACAATGACAATGAAGAAAAATGATTCGGAAAAAGCGAAAGTTCGATTTCGAAGGGCCGAACGCGAAAATATCCAAATTTCAGTTTAAAGGGCTACTGAATGCACAAATCCATAGCCAACCGGCTAATAAACGTACCAGCGTGCCGAACGACTTCTGCAGGTGCTCGGTCAGTGGTTCATCTGCAGGTTGCGCTCGCCGGGCAACACACGCACACCGGGCCGCAGAACGGGTGGGCAAAGCCGCAGTCTTGCGCCTGGAAAAATCGGAGTTAGATAAAAAAAATTTGGAAAAACGATAATCCAAAGCACTCAAAAACTACGCACCTGATGAGCTTAGCCCGGGAAGAAGCGGCAGCTCTCGCGCGGAACCCACAGCGTGCAGCCCGTCTCCTGGCGGTGACGGCGGTTCTCCCAGAAGACGCACTGCGGGACCGGTTTGCGGAAGCCCATGCCGGGTGCATGCCGCCGGCGCCAGCGCCAGGTCCACCGCCTCCGCCGCCGTTCTGCTGCTTGCCGCCGCCATCTGGAGAAAGGGGAGATAGAAGAGCTCTAAGAAAAACAGGCGGAACAAATCCGATCAGCGCGACATCGCCAAGTTCGAGCAGTTCGGCTAATTTGTATCAATTCCTAAGCAATTCCGCACAACTTGATCAAGATAGCCGTTCGACTAATTTGAGCCCTTTCCGCAAAAAATTCGCGAAATCAACGAGTTCGAGCGGTTCAAAATCCCAAAAACTCACTGAACATGTTGAAGCCGCCGCCAGCACCGTTGTGGGCACCGCCTCCGTAGTCTCGGCCGCCGCCCGGCCACCGTGTCCACCGCCGTATCGCCTGTCCCCGCCGCCGCCGCCCACGTCCATGTGGTCATCGTCGAGGTGGTGATGGAGCTGGTCGCGGAATCCGCCTGGAAATGGGAAAATAGAAAAGTTAAGCGAGCGTTTTTCTACGCTTGTAACGGCCCATTAAAGCAACAAAACCGAATCCACTGACCCATATGTCCTCCTCGCATGCCCTTCGGCGGTCCTCCTCCCTCCACCGCCCATCATCATTATCTGCTGCTGCTGTTGGTGCTGTTGTTGCTGGGGATGATGGGGCATATGTGAGCCATGCGATGGGGCTGCTGCTGATGCAGGTGGTAGGGCCCTTGGGGGGTACGGGTGTCCGCCTCCGCCTCCTCAGCCATTCTGGTGCTGCCACGGTCCGCCGCCGCCGCCAAGTCCGCCTCCCCGCCGGGTCCATTCCGTTTCTTGTAGCGCTCTTCGGCCCGTTTCCAGGGTTGTCGCCGAACGGGTTGCCGCAGTTGCCGGGGCCGGTGCGCGGCGGCTGAAAAAAGGCAGGTTAAATGAGGTCCTAATCGATTACGCAATTAAAATCATTCAAAAAAATTATTTTCAACCAGCAAATAATTCTTAAAACGCACGTTTATCCGGCAGGACAGGGCCGCCCATCTCGTAGTCAATGTCGCCGGCATCCGATGCGGGGTCTGCACCAAGAGCGGACGTCGCACCACCGCCCATCGCTTCACGCCGCTCACGCTCGCGCGACTCCGAGGCGCCGATGGCAAACGGGTCGCCCATCTGGTGGGCACTGACGGGACGGGGGCTTGTCCTCGCGCTCCGACGCCAGGTTGTCACTGAAAAGCGGAAATGGGAATAGATATGGTGATCTTCCGCAAAGCTCTGCTAGCCTGCCTTTAAAGGTCATAGGGCCCAGAATCCATAAAAAATCAGTACCTTCCCATCAGCTTGCTGTAGGGGTCAGTGCGCATCGAGAGGCACAGGATGGCTTGGCGGCTCGTCCTCCAGCTCCGCCGCCGACACGATGGTGGTGCTGCTGGTGGAGTGGGGCGAGCATCTCGCGGATCGGCCAATTCTAAAGGGATTGGTAAGTGAGAGGGTTATAGCGAGAGATAGAGAGACAGAGAGAGAGACCAGAAAAACGGGCTACTGTTGTCCGTGTCCGACTGGGTGTTGTCCTCCTCCTCGTCGGCGGCGTCGTGGATGAACAGGGCGGCGGGACGGAATGCGGCGATTGCTGGGGCCATATTGAGGGGGTCCTGGAACGAAAAAATAATGACAAAATTTAATTTTTCTTAATAAAATAAGTTTTTATATTCTAACATTTCCCACGGTTAAGAACATTCCAAAATTACTATTTTGGCGCATTCTTAAAGTTTCTAAGTCTTTCGAACGCTTTTGCTCTTAAAACTAAATTTTAGCCAAAATGCCTGTGGATCCTCAGCTGCTAGCAGAGCGACCGATGGCCGAGGTGTTGTGGCCGGATAGCGTGAGAAACGTGGTGGTGATCGCGCGGCCGGGGGTAGCGTCAGGCGTAGATCGAGCCGTTCGGGGGAGGTGGAGACTTGAGCGTCAGGCGACAGTCGACGAGGGCCGATAACTGATGAGAGGGGCTAAAATAAATCAGGTCCGAATTCAAACCACATAAAATAACGATTTTCATAGGATAACCAATCATTTCTGCAAAAACTCACAAAGAATGTGGCGGCAGCGGGAGCACGTCGGCCGGCTGGTTGGAACAGCACGCCGATCAGCTCCTCCAGGCTGAAAACAATGGTATAATTAAGAATAGAGGATTTAGAACGTTTTAAAGGAAAATTAAAGGCGCAGAAAGCAGCATTAAAAGTCTGTGCCAAATGATTTGTTGCAGAGATCAAAACCAGTGGCACTCTAGCTAGCTACAGGGGCCAGGAAATCAAGGACTCACTTTAAAAATCCAACCAATTACGGGACATAAATCCCCATGCGCCCTAAATCGATTACACCATAAAATTCGCCCTCAAAAATTTTTTTCAGCTCACTATAAAAATGTCAAAAATTCAATGCCTCAGTTGGAAAAAAATCATTACAGTTCAGGGAGCATCATTTAGTGGGTTGGAAAAACCATATCATTCACCCAGGCCAATAACACGGGCAGAAGGGCACATCGGCAATCAGACACCAAGCAACCAGAGTAGAAGAGGAGGAGGGATGGGGTGAAGAGAAGATATTGAAGAGAGCAGTAGTCAGGTGTGACCAAGACAGAAGAGAGAATTGAGAGGGTGTGCGAGAGAAACAATTACTCCCTTTGGAGTAGAAGACGAGAGAACGAAAGCAGCCATTTTGGAAACAAAAGTCAATAATCTGAAGAAAGAGTGGCAGGGGTAAAAACAGGTAGAAATATTTTAAAATTTCAGGCAAGGACGAAACAAGCTAGCAGGGGTGGGGGAGAAAAGGGATTTAATATAATTAAAGATCCCAGGATCTCAAAGATTATAACAAAAAACAGTAAGCAGATTCATGTAGAATGCTTAAAAACTAATTTCAGTCAATTTCAAAGTTGGAAACAATATTAAAAGCTATTTAAAAAGTGCATAAGCTAACCGAAAAACTTTCTACAGCCATACAGTTACTAACAACTAGAAACTAAAAACAACCCAGGAGAAAGACTAAAAATACGGGCAAACAAACAGAAAATCTTTCGGATTCTATTAAATCCCATCCACAGGCCCAAGACAGCAAGGCAGGCAGAGCAAATATTGGCATATCGGCACAGTGCAGCAAACAGACTCGACAGCTTTGACTGTCACAATATTACTTCAGAGGCATCTGCAAAACCAGCAGGAAGGGGGGTGAATGACAGATGAGTCCTCCACACACTGGAGTATGGTGGATAGGACTATAGTCCTCATAGGAGGTATGCATTAACAAAAGAAACCTCGAGAATGCGGTAGAATGAAAAGAAAAAATTGGTGGTGGCGGTGTGTTCTTCAACCTTATCTAGTGAGTGACCCCCTTATTCTATACCCCTCAGGATAATCAACTTTTTCAAAAGGGTGAGTGGGGGGTCACACTTGAGAAACAGGGGGACAGCGAATTAAGAATAAAACTTCACGCTCCGTAGGGCTACTATTGACCACAAATGACAGGCTTGAAAATGTTGAGCCAGGAAAACAAGCTTGGCAGGCTTGAAATTTTGGAACAGAGCAAAAGCAGATAACTCAGAAACTCAGGTTGTGCAGCAGAGGCTCAGGCTTAGGCTTATCATGGGGTTGGAGCCTGGGAAAATGCCTGCATATGATCTTAGATCTTCTACGAAACTCCACTGCTGAATAAAACCAGCTTCAGCCCAGGCTTGAAGCGAAACTTCGTTTTGGCTTGGTTTTGGCTTCGACTTGGGCTTTAGGCTTCGCTTCCAGTTTGGAGGCTTGAAAGCAATGCTTGAAAGCAGAACTCTTAGAATCCAAACTTACAGCTTCAAGTTTTGGGAACAAAAGCAGCTTAGGCATAAAACCTAGGAAGGTGGAGCTCAGGCTCAAGTGATCTTAAAAAAACACCAAAACAACAGCAGCAAAAACCTAACAACACCAACCATCTCTCTCCGAGAACGCGTCAGAAGCACCAGGCCAAGGGGCGCGAGGAGTGACAAGAAACAAATCCCAGCTGCCCGTAACCAACAAC